TGATTCGGGAGTAATTGGTTAATTGTGTTGGGCAAGATTCATGATCAGTACCCTGTTAAGCTGTTTATACAAATTCGGGGGTAATTGTTCGTAATAATATTGAAGGTAATTAGTTAATTTTGTTGGGTAAGATTTGAGGTAATTGTTCGTAATAATATTGAAGGATCAGGGGTAATTAGTTAATTTTGTTGGGCAAGATTTGAGGGTAAGATTGGGGTAACCTATGATTTAAGCTGTTTATGGAAAATGGCGCCATGCGCTCGGTCTCTATACTACTCTTAAAATACTGTTTTATTGTATATTGATAATACTAAAACTGTTTTATTGTGCTCGGAGACCAGAGATGTACGTGCAGGGGTGCAGCACATCGACTAAGTTGAATGTCATTGAAGATTTGATGGCGATAGATACTACAACTTATTTTCATTCATACCCTAGAATAAAAACAAATTGCTTTTTAGGCGTTTCAGGCGCCGGCGAAAGATGTCTACCTAACTGTAAATGTAATTGTATGACATTTGTGCCCGATATGTTAAGAATTAAAACAACTTCGCCTCATATTGAAGCATAAAATTTTGCTATTAATAAGATAACAATGATAATGTTGATTTATAATAATATATATATCATAAATCAATTTTTAAAATTAATATCATTTATATATGATATTTACACTCTCTAAATTCCGTCTAGCTCCTCCGCATTCATTACACTTTTTTTTATCTCATCACAGTTCATCTTCTGAATCTCAGGCCTCTTTTTGCTCATACGCAACACACTTCATCATTGTATCATCAGAGGTGCCACATTCTTCTTTGCACTTCCACAAACACAGCGCGAAGTGTCGGACAAATTTACGACCGGACTCGCGGCGGTCTCACGGCCAATTTCCAAATTTACTGGCCAGGGAATATCTCCAAAACTAATGAACGTAGCTCAATGAAACTTTGTACACGTATTCATTATGACCTAGAAATGATGTTTAACTCGTGAAAAATGTTTCCATTTCACCTTCATCCGTGAGTTATAGAGCAATTCGACCTGTATTTCTGAGGGCGATTTTTGAATGTGCTGAATGTGTTGAATGTGAAATGTGTTGACAAAGAGCCGTATCCGTATAGCCGTATAACTTGCAAACAAAGGAAAAATCGAACAAAAATTGACATGAGTTAAACACCTCCGTTGTTGCTGTTGTTGTTGTGGTTCCCCGGTCTCATTTTTATAAGAGACCCCCCTCGCGCAGGTACGACACCACCGACAAGGGGTGGCCCCAGAGCTGTAGGGCCGAGGTTATGTATGTGGTATTGTCTGAGATCCTGCCAGAGCGGACATTCCAGGAGATTGTGAGTGATAGTGTGAGGAGCTCTCTGGCAGGATGGGCAGGTGTTTGTGTCTGCTTGGCCGATTCTGTTTGCGTATGTTTGTAGTGAGGGGTGGTGGCCGCAGCGCAGCCTGGCTAGGTGTACTCTCTCCATTCTAGAGAGCTGTGTTTCTGTGCTGCTTATGTCAGGTGGTGGGTGTCCAAGGACTTTGTTGTTGCCGGCCAGCTCCAGCGTTCTAAGCGTCATAATTGTGTGCAAGTGTTTTTTTGCAACGGTGGTGCAAAACACAACCGTCGGGAGGTTAGGTGTGCATATTCAAAGTTTCGTTCAACTCTGTTCAGCAGTTTAGAAGAAATTTCTTGGTTACTACGATTTTCGGCCCGTATTGCTGTATAACTCGCGATTGAAGGTGAAATGGAAAAACATCAAAAACGAAAGTAAATTCTAAAAAATTGTCACAAGCTAAACATCCCGTTGGGAGGTTAGGAATGTATATTTAAAATTTCGTTCATGTATGTTCAGTAGTTTAGAAGAAATTTGTTGGTCACTGCAAATATTGGCCCGAATATCTCTATAATGTACGAATGAAGATCTAATTGAAAAAATATGAACGAGCTAAACATCACCGTTAGGTCCTGATGCCGCGAGTCCGGCCGTAAATTTGTCCGAGACCTCACAGCGCGCATTCTTTCGACCCGACAAGATTTGATGTTTGGGGCTTGTTTCGGCTGCATGAGCATTTCTTATCTACTGTAGAGCTATCTTTGGGGCCCATTTCTCCCTTCAGTGCTCAGAGAAATGCGATGCAATTATTATATGCAAGAAAAAGCTCGAGCCTCTTGCGTCTCTCTTAGTAAGAGAGCAACATCTACCACTTCGTCAGGCATCCTATTTTTTAGGGCTGCGCCTTGTAACTATCCGAAGGGGATTAAAATGATACCTACCAACTCTTCTAGGCTCTAAGCAGATAGGCTCTGTCAGTTTTGTTTAAGGTTAGCCATGTTTTTCCCGGTGCCGGTGAAATGTAATAAATTATAGTGTATAGTTAAATTCCAGTAATTTTTTAAGGACATATGGATTAAACACGTATATCTTCAAATGGACAAAAATTCACTCATGCACAAAAACTTATATCTCTGCGCTGCAAAAGAAAACTCTTCTCCGAACTCAACTGCATTTGTGTTTCGTCACAATTTCCCATAAGTGTTCGAGCGGCAAAAAATTGTTGACTCCACAAATGTAGATAGAAGGATTGGTGTGAAGCATTTAAAAAATATTTTTTCTTAATTCAGAAACATTCAAAAATCAGCTTTTGACATCAATGTCAATTTGCATACATGCGGACTTAATTTTTTTGACCTGCTTGACACCAACCGAAATTTTTCAACCTATGTTTTTCAGTAGCTCCAGTAGGCGCTAATCGACAGAAATTTATATAGGTAAGAATTTTTTTAACTGATCAATTCTCTCTACTTTCCCTCTCACAAAGAATTTTAAAATAATTGATCCGAAACTCCGTTTAATTGTGTGTTCGCTTTAGAGATCTTCTGGCTGAGGGTTTGATTTCAGAACCATTTTCTCAGTCTGTATCCGTTCTTGTTCAGTTTCGCCGATGGACCTAGGTTGAGCCTATAACCTGAGCTTGAATTTAAAAATCCATAATGGCTGTGAGTGATAACATATTTTAAGTGTAATTTCATTTATAGATGAAACATTCTTCTAGGAAACTATATTTTCAAACTCAACCCTAGCTAATTTATTCTGTGACCTTGTTGCAAATCGAAGATTTTTTAGAATCAATATGATCTTACTTTCCTCATTTACTCGAGAATTGAACCAGTATCTCATTTATGATAATGCTGGTATCCGTTATGCTTTGCTAGTTTACTTATAGAACTCGTAATTGAATTTGAGGAAGAGACTAAGAAGTTTCTGCCTTGCCACTATCGACTACCTGTGTATGGTCAGCCTCTGTGATTGTAACATTGTATACAGATTTCAGAGTAGGTATGATTGTCAAGGCACAGTCAGCGTTGCAATTTCAGGGTGCTGATTTTTGACCAGTAACTTTGACACTGAATAGTGGAGTTCTAAATGAAATTGAAATATTGAAGCATATGCGGTTGAGAGGCTAGCCTCTTCTGGAGAATTGGACAGAAAACAGCTGTGAATCAATAAAAATGCCCATACTTGCCATAAATTTCATCCATTTGTATGGGCTTTGCATAGCTAATTTCTTACACCAAAACCCAAGTTGACAAGGAACTAATTTTTTTCTTCAATTTTGGAAAATCACCTGTAATTCAATAGGTTTTATTTGTGATTTCTGTAGAATTCTGCCCAACATTCCAGAATTCAGATGGCTACTATGTAAAAAACTGGTTTAATTTGGATGCACATAGAAAAAATAGATCAATATTCAATAATTATAGGCTAACTGGAGGCTGAAGGCCAGCCATTATCATGAATAGAGGAGCTAGGCAGCTAGCTACTTTTTGTGCTATAAGTTTAATCTAGGTACCTACCTATATGATTTTGAACCTAGCTAAATGAAAGATTGGGCTGAAGCCACCCATGAAAAGAACATGAATCATGAATGCCCATGAATCAGGCCAATTTCCCATGGACTTTTCACATAATTTCTTCTGTGTTGAATATATGGTTATATAGGTATTTAAGAAAGATTTTTCGGTATTATTGCAGATTAACTACATCCAAAAAAAAGGGTGTTTTTTTTTTAATTATATGTTTTTTGGGGTGTAGATTACGAATCTGAAATCCATTTTTGGCGGTCGGCATCGGAAAACCGATTTTTTTCGCGACTTACTAACATGGGGGTTACGTAACTTACGTTACCCACTCACCATAGTGGCAAAGCAGAGAGTTTTTTAGACTCTTTCTCAAGTTCATTTTTGAGTCCTATATGTAGACCAGTAAAGTATCCTGGATACCAGCATTATCATACTTAAGAAATTGGTTTAAATCTTGAGTAAATGAGGAAATTAAAAATGAACTGATTCTAAAAAATCTCTGGTTTGTCACTATGATTATCATACTTAAGAAATTGGTTTAAATCTTGAGTAAATGAGGAAATTAAAAATGAACTGATTCTAAAAAAGCTCTGGTTTGCCACTATGCCACTCACCTTTATATAAAGGGTCGGATTGTTCATCGAAATTTTACAAAAAGCTCTTAGGTTGGGTTAAGTCAGCCAAGTTCCTTTTTTTAGATAGCATTTTGATCTAAAAGGAACCTGGGCGAACCAACCCAACCTGCGAGTTGGCGTTAGGTTGTGATCTCTCGATGTGGCAATGTATCTCCAGATTTATGGACAAAGAAGACGAAAATGTTACCCGTTGCATTGCAACGGGTAACATTTTCGTCTTCTTTACCCGTTGCAGTGCAACGGGTAAGTTTCATTCAAGATGTTAGGCATTTTTAGCGCGATTTTTGGGTCTGAAAAAAATCGGTTTTCCGATGCCGACCGCCAAAAATGGATTTCAGATTTGTAATCTACACCCCAAAAAACATATAATTAAAAAAAAAAAACACCCTTTTTTTTGGATGTAGTTAATCTGCAATAATACCGATTTTTCATCTTAATATTTTCCAATGAAACTAGACAAAGCTGCCAATTTGGAATGTAGTGCAGATTGCAGAAGTTTCCTAAAATTGAGGGCATACCTAAGCAATCACTTCACAATTGACTTGAAAATATTGGGTGAAAACAATCAGTTTTCTTTATTTTTTGCGGAACATAGGAAAGGATCCTAGAAACAAAATTGGCTAGAATCTCGGTGTTTTTGTCAGACTCGTGGGTGGCTTCTGCCCAGTTTCCTGCTTTGCAGCAAAGGCTGTAGGAATGGGCAAAATTGTCTTAAGTAGGTAGCTATGGGTTTTTCTCTGTAACAGGTGGCTCCTTCTAATTTTCCTGTTTTGATAACACAGCAAGCACTGAATTGGAGGACACGATTATTATTAACTTGATTGGAATGCTGATTTAGATCTATGGAATTCAGGAATTGTAGTCAATTGTATTTAAATCCATAATTTTTCCATATCTAGAATATGGTTTACTGACCAGCAAGTTTTAATGTATCTAGAAAGATAAGTTCGAACTGGAATTCCAGAGTCCATACAAAAAATAAGATACCTGATTGGCTACCATTAAATTATTAGTGCATAAAATTTATTTTAAATGCAATTAAATTCAAACCTTGTTATGTGGATGGCTGCCATTAAATTATTAGTACATAAAATTTAACTTGGATGCAATTAAATTCAAACCTTGTTGTGCGGATGGTAGTATATGCTGAAAAGATTAAGTTTGCTTTGAGCCTATTTTTGAACATTTTGCCTCTATTTGAGCCTATTTTTATTTTTTATTTATCCTACTTGTGCCATTAAATAGTTAACTAGCTTGTTAGTTCAACATTTGATTTGATCTTAAGGAGTGTTGAATTGTCATAAGTTTCTTGCTGATAGGACCTAATAAAATTATTTTTCTTGCAGCGTGGACCTAAAAAGCATCTGAAGAGACTTTGTGCTCCCAAATCTTGGCTCTTGGACAAGACTGGTGGTGTGTTTGCACCTCGTCCGGCTCCTGGTCCGCATAAGCTTCGGGAGTCAATCCCAATTGTTCTGCTCATCAGGAACAGGTGCATAGCATGTTTGAATAAGAGTTAAATTACAATTTCTATTATTTTTATTGTATTTTAGTTGCACAAGAGAATGAACATCATGCTGTCAATTTTACTTTGGAAAAAAATAGACATTTTATCTTTGCTCATCTAAAATATGTTCACTCCTGAGCATTTTCTTATAATTTGTTCATTGAAGATATGAATCACAATGAAAGAATTATAAAATATTTTCACTGTGCACAGAACATTTTATGTGTAAATTACTAATTCTCTATTGCATACACAAAGGGAAATTAACTTCATTTAATTGTCATTAATTTAAAATATATTGTTAATTTGTATGAAATACTGAAATAGCATGAATTTTGATGTCCATTTTCAATATTAAGAATGATAGGGGAAGACAATATATCAGGTGATCTTGAGTATTGCCATTTGGCCTAAATAAGAGTATTTTTTTCTTTTCCAATAGACTCAAGTATGCCCTCAATTATGATGAAGCCAAGAAAATCACAATGCAGAGGCTCATCCAAGTTGATCACAGAGTTCGCACTGACCCCAACTTCCCAGCTGGCATCATGGGTGAGCATTGGTTGCTTGGTTTCTAATTAATGCACATTTTTATGCAATACATGTGAGGATGAAGGCTAGAGATTGCTACTAGAGTTATATTTCTCTAGTATTCTGGTTGTTTCAGGACACTGGATAGACAATTATTTGGGCATTATTAACTAGCTTCAATGACCATTTCAATTGATCTCTTTTTACTTGTCTGTTCGCAACGGCCTGTCTGATTTTCAATGCTGCTGTGGGTCATGGTGGAATCCTAGGCTTGTTGTGTATGCTCCTATCGAAGCTGTGTTGAACATCTTTGTTCACATTGTCAAAATGGAGCGAGAAAATGTCTGCCTCCAAACGGTCGCTGAGGCTCTTATTCAGCCGGCAGCATACCAAGGAGGCTTACACTTTATTCTTTATATATTTTTCTTACACTTTATTTTCAAATCGAATCGAGATTTCTATCGCCAAACCTCACACTCGACTGTTTTAAGTATGATAGGTTTGTTCAATGCCAATTCACTGTTCACTATGATGACAAGGGAACTATAGTGATTGACCATAATTATTTTTGCTTATAAAATATTGTTTTTTAGTGCTGGTTAAAATGGGCTATAGTTACAGTTTCATGTACATACAAATTTTCAAAGTATTGAGTACTGGGAGTTACTAATTTATCTCTTGGTAACTGGTCGAAATGATGCATTTGTCTGAATATGTTGCTCTTATCGAAGCTGTGTGTGTCGTGTGATGCAGGCAGTCATAAATGAGCTAGAAGAAAGCAGCATTACTACGGTCGCCTAGGCTCCTGAGTCAATGGCATACCAAGGAGGCTCACAATGAAACATTTCAACCAGTTTCAACCAAACCAAAGTTTGGGAACCAGTGGTTTCCAAACTTTTTCAGGCTGGCGCCCCATTTGGCTCCCTAGTGAATTTCTAGCGCCCCCCACAGACTTACGCCTCTTTCTTGAAATTTAGTACGCTGCAATTTTTAAAGAGAAAGGTTAAACACAAATGTGTATTTCACAAATAGCACCCCATTTAGTGAACCAATATGTTTTTCAGCTGTTTCAGCACTGGAAACCAAAGACGTCGCGGCGAGTTTACGTCCGGACTCGTGGCCGGTCTCATGACCAATCTCCAAATTCAATTATCAAGTAATACCTATCAAACTAATGAACGCAGCTATATGAAACTTTGAACACGTATTCATCATAACCTAACAGTGATGTTTAGCTCGTAAATTTTTTTAAAATTTCGCCTTCATTCTTGAGTTACACGTATATTGCGAAACAGGCCGAAATTCGCAGTGATCAAAGAATTTCTTAACTATTGAACAGATTTGAACGAAATTTTGAATATACATTCCTAACTACCAAACGGTGGTTTTTTTTAGCTTATAATTTTTTTCGAGTTTATCTTCGTTTGCGAGTTCTTTTTCATTTCACCGTCATTCTTGATTTCACACTTCTTTTATTCGGCCCGNGGATTTGTTAATTTATCTCTTGGTAACTGGTCGAAATGATGCATTTGTCTGAATATGTTGCTCTTATCGAAGCTGTGTGTGTCATGTGATGCGGGCAGTCATAAATGAGCTAGAAGAAAGCAGCATCACTACGGTCGCCTAGGCTCCTGAGTCAATGGCATACCAAGGAGGCTCACAATGAAACCTTTCAACGTTCACATTCAATGTACTCTAATCTCGTTGAGTCGAAAGTTTAATGTTTTGAAAGATTACTATTATTTCATACTTGTGAGTGAAAACTTGTCAGTCGGGTTCACTTATTTGTTTGATTTAACAGATGTTGTTCAGATCGCCCGCGTAAAGGAGAACTTCCGCATATTATACGACATTAAAGGCCGATTCCTGATGCACCGCATTACTGAGGAAGAAGCCAATTTCAAGTTATGCAAAATCACGAAGAAGTTCACGGGCCCCAAGAAGGTGCCTACCATCGTCACCTCTGACGGCCGCACCATCCGCTACCCTGACCCTCTCATCAGGATCAACGACACCATCGTCTATGACATGAAGGAGAGCAAAATCAAGGATTTTATGAGCCTCGAACCTGGTGAGTTTACCGACTCATTATTACATTTATCAACTCATGACTTGTGAAATCGAGAATAAAAAAAAGTAAGATTTTTACTGTTGTTACTTTGAATTGAGCAAGAAACTGCAACGCTAATATTGCATTGGAAACGTAACAAATGAAGAGGAATCTAGATGACTGGACTTTATCTCGGTCATACATAGACATTTTATTGCCGCTCATATCGAAGCTGTGTCTGCCTAATGGCTTGCATGGTCAAAATTGAGCGAGAACAAATTAGCATCCACACGGTCGCCGGGGCTCTTGAGTCAATGGCATACCACGGAGGCTTACAGCATCATTCTTGGCAGTCCTCGATTATAATACCATCACGCCAATTGTGGTTTCGTTGCTTCTTGTTGGTGTAGACGTGTATCTTTCTATGTACATAATATTGGCCTATAGTTAACCTTTCAATGCAGTGAAACTCCTGGGGTCTTTCGAACTCGATTCCTGCAGCAACTTAGTACATATTGCAACTTGCCTTGTTCATAAAACGCACCGATTTTCCCATTAAAATGAATGAACGGCTATCCGTATCGGACCTCCCCGTAAGTTACTTCTTTCGGGTATATATTGCATTACAAAGGCTAGAAATAATTTTATGATGCCCAAAAAGGTAGTTTTCTGATCTTGAAGATGGTGGAGATTGTACTTTTATGTTGGCCGGACCCCTTGCTAAATTGACAACCTGCATGCTGGCCGCAATCTTATTAACGATTTCCAATTTATCATCCATAGCTATGGAAACTTTGTATGACAATGCATTGCTTTTTTGCAGTGCCCGGGGTGGTACAGTAAAGCTTGGTCGTATAGCAGACCACATTTTTTCCGAAGTGATGGTTTGTAAGTCGGCCTGCAATGTATAATAAATATTGCTGTTAGTTTAACCTGTTTTTACACAATATTGGTTTGTGCAGGTAACCTCTCCATTGTGACTGGCGGTCGTAACTTGGGCCGTATCGGTGTGATCATCGCCCGCGACCACCACGCTGGAGGTTTTGACATCGTCCGCATCAAGGATGCTGTCGGCAACGTTTTTGCCACCAGGTAAGCCATTTATCCTATTCATGGAACAGTGAAGACAATGCTTTATTTGTGTGCTCATTGCATTGTCTCGACGAAGTTTATTGTAATAATGTCGCAATAACGTTAATTGTGACCAAATAAGTGTCATTAGATCATGTGTTAATGAAAAGCCTATATGACGATATTTGTGCATTAATGTTACACGCTGTTTATTCAGGCTAGAAGAAATGTATTTCTGATTCGTATCTGTGAGATGGCCAAAGCGCTATTGTAGACCACGGCTTCGTCAGATTTCTGTGGGGGACAAAATAGCGCATATCAAAATCAGGGCTATGTTCGTAGTTATTAACTTCGACCTTAACGCATCTGATACATAATCTAAATAAAGAATAAAGTTGTCAGTATGCAATGTGCACGAGTACCTGTCGCTGAAGCGCCGCGATATCATCACCATCACTATTTCGACAGTTCAAGAGGGGTTTTTGCATTTCAGACTGCAGAACGTGTTCGTCATTGGCAAGGGCACCAAGGCATACATCTCGCTTCCTAAAGGCAAGGGCGTTAAGCTCACTGTCGCTGAAGAGCGAGACAGGCGTCTTGCCAAGAAAAAGTAGCTTCAATAAAACACGCTACTCCAGAACGATTTTTATTGAACCTGCTCATGTCAACACAATTGAATGGTACGCTGAGAGTACTGAATGGTTCTTCGCTAGCGTCTAAAGATGAAAAAGGATTATATCGCTCATTTTCTAGACAGACATAATTTCACATTGAAAAGATTGACATTACCTATGGATTAGGATTGATATAAACAATGTCATGGGTTACGTGGAAACATGAATACATATTGTCGCACGTCAGTTCATACTATGTTAGAATGGCACAGGTATGGTTTAAACTAAATTCGCTAAAGAGAATTTCTGCAAGTACTGTTATGTCTGACATGTTGCTGTCCTGAAGTCACAATGTATTGCTCTTAAAAAATTATCAACATTCAAGATATTCCACGCGTTAGAGTTAGAAAAGCGTACACGAAAAGGGGCCTGGAAAATGTGAAATTTGTTCAGGCTTAAATGTCAGCCCGTACATAATGCCTATCCGAGACGCCATGGTACGTACTGTTTGTTGCAGAAATATTATGACACTACAGTAGATCCTTCATTGGTGGATCACAACGGCAGTTTATCGACTAAAACTGAATATGCACCGTTAAAACGAAAAACTTGAAATTATGTACTAACCTACGTAAGATAATAATTTGTCCCCACAACATTCGTGATATAGAATTTTAGATAGTAATTAAGACACATTGTTGCCTGTATTGCACGGAGCATGTGTTCAACTTAGTTGAACAATTTGTGCATAGGTTTACTACTGCGGCTGACACAAGACACGGCAAATTGAAATCGTACTTCCTATTCCAGTAATAATTCGAACATTTAATCGCTAATTCATGACAAACGTCGCTGAGATTCATTCATAATACTCATTTTATTAAAAGCTATTATTAGGCTATCTAAATTCCATATAGCGTGACGAATAAGGTCATACTTATTATCTTTCACGTATTGTTGCGAAGGAATGATTCATAGGAAGATCATACATCTCGTAAATAGCAGCTAACTTGTACACCTTACAAATCAAGATCGTAAGACGAGTCAATAACGGTAAAAGCTTCATACTGATACTCTAAGCTGCCATTAAATTCAAGACGCAAAAAAGAACACGTGCTAAGTAAGAATTGGCATTAGGAACTATATTAACGCTTCACAGCAAAAAACGAGAACGTGCGTTAGTACAAAAAGAAATTAAGTTATCATATAAAGTAAGTCATAATAATTATTATTAGAATTGCATTAGAACCCATTAGGCCCAATTAGACATTCTAACAAAGTGAGTATTGAAGTCGACCATGTTAATCGATATAGATATTAAATTACGAACTAAAATCGTTGCCATTTAAGAAATGTCACGTAAAAAAATTTATTAGTGTAGAAATAAAAAACACGCTTCGCATTTCTTTGGCTAAAAAATAAACAATTTGTACAAGAAGTTGCACAGACAAGTTGTACTTTAGCTGTCATCCGGAACTTCACCGACGTTTTAAAATATGCGAAATTTAGTCGTGCCATCGTCATTTGTCACGAAGATAAAACAACGCACACAGAAAAGCGATCAATTATTTTTCCTGCCGATTCGTCGCTTCCCAGATGAGAAATGCAAACCGTCCAGTACTGGTTAATTTTGGTTAACTTGCGGACAATTCTCCAATATTTAATATTTTCGTGATTTTTCTGTGGCCAATGGCGGTGATGAAAGGAATTTTAAACAATAAGTTACTGGATAAAAACTGGCCTTACGGCACTGAGTATTTTCATATTTAGAGTACTAAAATATTATAGCTGCAATACGCTGAAAACGCATGGTGAAGACGCAAAAAAATTAACTTAGTTCATAGAGCAATGAAGCCCTTGAAACTGAGATAATCGTCATTGCCGTTGTGGACTCTCAGCACTCCATGCTTGAGCCGCCATAGCCTCCCAAGAGGCTGAAGTAGGCGCCGCCAGGGTGGCTGGCGCAGCTCACTTGGCTCGTGCGGTTATTCCTGTGGTCGGAGTGCAGCAACGCCCCGCCCTCCGTCCCCAACACGGCCTCCAGAGCGCTCTGAAGCTCGCCATATGTCGCCTCCAACGCCATCTGATATTCGCTCTGGTCTGGGCCTATGAGCTGAGCATTCAACTCCAACGCCACCTTACACGTCACCATGAATTGCCTGCACCATGAGAAGAGGCTGTAGTGCATGTGATATCATTATAAATGGGAATAACAACTTAGAATTACCTTGGCAACATAATATACCTATTTTTAGAAATAGTAGTCTGAAGTTAAAAAGTTACGAGAGTTAACGTGTATTTCACGATACATGATCACTTATAACTCGGCGAACCCTTAGCTCGTCATGACAATATTCGAAGTTAATACTTAATAATTACTATACTAGAAAGTCTGAAGCATGATTTGCCACTTATTTAATTCCTTAGGAGTTCGGTGTACAGCAGGAGTACATTACAACTAAGCTAACCTGTAGAGCTCTCTGAGACGCGAGACTTGGTTCACAGGATACGCTGTGCCCTCTGAAGCCATTGATACGGAGTCCATGGCAGTGGTAGATGGGGTGGGGGAGTGAGAAGGGATCAGAACATCCTGGAGGAAGGTGGTGGCGTAAGCTAGAGGTCCAGCATTAACTTGAACACTTATGCTGCCTTGCAGTTTCAACTGTAGTTTCTTGATGTCAGTGGGTTTCTTATTGATGACGTCGTTTAGTTCCTTCACTCGTCCCTGCATTTCGTCAATGGCAACTTCAATAGGCGACATTTCACGCACTTTGCAGTCGATGATTGGGATGCGTTTCTGGACGTAAGGGAAGCAATAACTGGTCGTTACGATGACCCGCCTCTTCCACTGATCTTGCAAACGTCCATGAGCTTTGGGCTTTGTCTTAGTTCGTACATCGGAACCGCTGGACAAGCTGTTCGTGTCGAGTTCCTCGTCTTCAGAAGGACGCGTGAAAGGCGTCTCAAAAACAAATTGATTTATGTTGTTGTTGCGCTCATACTCAGTTTGTCTTTGGAGATTCTCCTCATCGTTGAAATAAGGCACGACATGCGTTACTTGCACGTAAGCAAGACGAGGATCAAGCTCTTCCAAGTCCACTGCGTTCGAGTCCATGATCATCTTGACGTTTTCTTTGCCGAATTTGTCGCAGTACTGTTGGTAAAGACGTTCGGATACCTCGGCCAGGGAGGTTACTTTAGGCTCTTTGTAGATATACTCTTTACCAGCCTCGTCTTCGAAGTGCAGCACTCCATAAAAAGCCACCCTAAAGTAAGTGCCCAGGAGGCGCTTGCGCGAGTTGTTGACTTCAACTACGCGTGTGTAGGCTTGGTAGAGGTGCGAGTAGCAGTGCACCAGAGCTGAGTAGTTGCGACGCTCTTCGTATATTGGCACCAGGATGCGATACAAATTTCCTATATTAAGAAAAGACACATACATAGACGTTTTAACACAGTTTTATCATATAAAACAAGCCAAATGGTTCGGTAATTTAGGAGAAAAAATGTTATCTGGATAGATCATAGGTATGATGAAAGCGCAAACTTGCTAAAATTCAAAACCTGATCGAGAAATTGGATAAAAAATTATCTAATCAATGCTAACTGACTGTATTTGAGTAGCTCCAGGTATATCTCAGTAAATAATTGGTATGAATATATAAATCACGGATTTACTAACCGAGCTGTTCATATCGCTCAGCTTTGTCAAGCATGAGAGCACAGCACTCTAGTTGCGTGATGAGGGAGTCCAGCGTGAACACGGTGTCTGTTTGGCCTCCTAAAATGAACATGAAGTCATAACGTAACCTCCAATACGGCGGCTAAACATTCTAAATAATGACCGAAAATGAGAAAAAATCAATCTGCCTCTGATTCAAATCTAAAATAAGTGACATCATACCAGTGTTTGTTAGGGTCAAATGTTAGTCGTCAGTCTTAAAACTTGAATGAGGAAGCGAACACAAAAGTTCGTGTATAAAACGAGGCTTGTACGTACATAATTTTTCAATTTAAGACCTGTAATTTTGAGACCATCAGGACATAATAATTGACATAACATAATTGATGGAAATAAGATCTACTATAGGGGATGGTCTTCGGAGGATGAAAAATATGCATATAAACAGGAGCATCATAGTTAAGACCAACAGAACAAGTAATTCAACTAGTAACAGATATTAAAGCATAAACGGTTTCAAACCATGTTAACATCTAGTTTAAGATGGAGTCGGTAATGAACTCACCCAGCCACTCGTTGGCCAGAAAAGCTGCTCGAGATGAGCGGAGGGAGTGGCAAAACAAAGGGAACAGAGATTCACATTCACGGAGATTAGAGGAAGAGACGTAGGAGAGGAGGCATCAGGATGCCGGCAAGCCGAAACGAGCGTGTAGGAACAAAAAAAAAAACACATTCAGGCGTGCTAATCATATAACGTAAAGGAAGTAATATGACGATAACAACAGTAATGAATTTGCAATTCAGTTAATTAGATGGAAGTAGAATAACACCAACGTGCAATATAATACAGGAAAGATATTGAAAACAAAATTAAATACCACAAACACCAATACATTATTGGTTGTATGAAATCCAATGAATTAAGGCTCTTCGAAAAGTGCAAATGGAAATGTAAATAAACGATCGTCTAAACCATGTCACTGTGAGGTCAGGTCGAACAGACAAACGATTTAGAGCTAAAATGAAGTGAATGAGTGGACGCCAACCTGCGTGATCGGTACGTGTGTTGTTCTCGTCCTTGAGGATGTTGGGGCTAATGATGTTGAAGGGGGCACAGCCTTCACTGTACAGCTTCTCACCCTTCAGGTACTCCGCCATCACCGCCGCGATGTGCACCTCACACATTGCGGCCTGCAAGTCCTCCGTCTCAATCATTCACCAAAATACTTTGCACAAATGGTAGACAAGGAGCAAGCACAAAAAAATTTTGTAAAAGAAAGCATTTGGCTATATTTATTATAAAAAAGTAAATACACCTATTGTCGCAGTTAAAATATAAATGTATACTGCCAATACTGAACGTAGATAAGCCCTCTGATCACGGATGAACAAACCGTCGTTAATGATATTCGTCTCGATCGGTCTGGTAAATATAATCATGCAAGTGGACCAATGGTCAAACTATTGAGTAAAGTTCAAAAATAAGACCTCTGAGATGCAGCGGTGCTGCAGGTGCAGCCTGGCCATGGCATGAAGCCACGTGATGCGTAGCTGTGGCGTCGCGGCGTACGAGGCTGCCAGCGAGTGCTGCAGGGAACACAGCATCTCAGGATCGTTGCTGTGGTGCGCCATCTGCGCCGTGGCCACAAGCACAGTGCGCACCCGCGTAGTCAGGTCGCGTACTTCGGTCATCAAACCTGCAAACATGTAGAGCTAAATTTACGTACTGTGCTTTACCAAGCAAAGTAAATCTGAACAATTAACAGTTACAAAATTTATCAGGCACACTAACAGGCATTCAGTAGTCAACAATAACCAGATTATATTCCTCTGGAAGTTATAAAAGATCAACTTGATATAAAGGAGGGGATAATAAATTTAGTGACACTTCAAAATAAAAAGTCATGTTTTAAAGTTAAGACAGGCTAAACTCTCAAATTAGTATAACAAATTCTATTGCAAAAGACTAAATGATCCGCGTCCATGATGGATGATTTTGTGCTGTTTGGATGAGTACGACTCTGCCTACAGCAAGAGAAGCATGCACGGATGAAAGCAGCTACTCTTACAAGGGAACACCGAATTTGAGACCAATTTAACAATAATGTTTTTAAAATCAACACCCTATTGATTGGAAGCATGCATGCATGTAGAAAAAATAGTTTCTGCAACTGGCTTAATGCTCCAGTGATAAAATTTTACCGGTATTTTGCATGGCTTTGTCTGTGTTGGCATAGTTATTGATGAGCGCCATGCTCTCCTGGAAGCGGGCGTTGTTCAGACCCATCGCTTCGCCCAGCAGCTGAGATACTGAGATGATCACCTGCAAAACACGACAGTTGTCCTTCACTTACGTACGATAAAACGGTCATCGATATCAAAACTACCCCACAACAGTAAAACATCAAATCGTGAGTATTTTTAAAAGCTTATAATATCGCATTGATCCGTGATTGGTTGATCAGTTATCAACCAATCCGTGAGACCATTAGTAGGAAACGAAGATGAAGCGTCCAGTTAGACCACATATATATTGCACTGTATAGCAAATGAAACAATTGATATTTCTGTTAACTGAGAGGACGCTCAACATATATTTATTTTACTGTACAGCAAATGAAACAATGGATATTTCTGTTAACTGAGAGGACGCTCAACATATATTTATTTTACTGTACAGCAAATGAAACAATGGATATTTCTGTTAAGGACGCTCACCTGCAGATGGACTCTGTTGATGCCGGCGTGCTGGCAATGCAAGTAATTGGCGCGCATGAGCAGGTAGAGCACAGCGCTGCTCTCCTGCCGCACGCTGCTCAGTTTGCTGTTGCAGCTCTTGAGCAGCTCGAAGCACAGCCAACCACATACGCTTGCATCGCCTGGACAGTTTCAAGAGTCATTGTAATACTACTGTAACATGTGCATCATTAACAACTCATTGGTGTTCTTATCAATAAAGTGAAATGAAACATTTCGAGACATCATCGAGCAAATAATCTGAATATCGGAAAGGACGGCTGCTCGAGGAAAACTTGGCCTGCAAACAGAGACAAAAATTTGTTTCATGTGCGAGAGGCCCAGAAATTCTGCTGTATAGAAACGTTTCTACCACTCGTTCCGATGCATCATGAGTGAAAATATCTCTACTACGTTATAAGACAAATGACTGATGTTTGAACAGCAATAATAATATTTTTCACACCAAAACCTCCCCTAGGCGATAAAAATTCTCCAAAAAATTTGTACCTTGGAAAAGCGTGTCTGGGAAGGTCTCAATGTAGCCGCGCAGGGCAGCGAAGATGTGCTTCTGCAGCGTCTCGGACTGGCCGAGTTGCAGCATTATCAGGTGTAGCCCGACTGTCTGCAGGGTAAACAAGAAGTTAAGATGATTATAATGTAACACAATGTTCCGAATTGAAAAGAAATCGTCAAGAGCAAAATTATATTTCCAGTAAAACCCCTGAACAAAATTACGTTACATCACACTCGAAAAATTTAATTACGAGGCTATTAAATTTTTTTTAATAATGAATGAAAACAAGAAAAAAATTATGGATATGACCAGATTACTCTGACGAAGCTATTGAATTTATTTATATTTATGAATAAAAACGAGTCAAGTGCAGTATGAGCTGAGTGGCGACTCAAGAGTCACTGACGGTAGTTAAACACCTAACAATTGTGATGGATCTTAAAAACATTAAGAGTGGAGATGGACCTTATTAAGCAGCGCCTCGCTGGCGGGCTCTACAAGCCTCTCAGTGCAGTGGGTCATGAGTGTGCTGAGTGTGTCCAGCACCACGAGGCCCACTTGGGTGGCAAGATTAGCGTCTTGCAGTGACCGCTGCCACGCAAACCCGCTACTGTTGCTGCCACTTGAGCTGCTCGTCGTCAGGCAAGAAGATGAGGGACCTGGCAAGCCAATAATAGAAAACTCAATTGTTGTCTCATAGTAGAGACTCTCAAACTGTAAAATCGGGTCGAGGTTGATCAATCTGATAATATCGGATCAAGCCGACAAAGCGGATTAATGACGTTTATCGAAAAAACGAATTAGCATGTTCAATACATAAAAAAATTGACCACTACCATTTCAGCCCTTTAAGGTTACACAAAAACAGTATAGAAAGACAGAAATGAGATCAAACACACGAGTTGCCCCGGCAACAAAATATAACTGGGACTTGCAGGATATGAATCGGTCGCAGCTCTCACGATCTATAAAGGAAAGCCAGAGTTTCACCGGCACAGAAAATGTCATAAAATGGGAAGCTTGCCAGGATATGTGTCGGTGCTGCCAGGCGCCATGCTGCTGAAGGGGGGCTGGAGCTTGGCTGGGAGCGTGGAAGACTTTCTGGAGGCGCTGCCGCGCTGCGCCTGCTGCAGTTGGCTGCCGGGCAGCTGCCGTAGCGCTGCACGCTTACCGGCGTAGCGGAAGTGCTCCAAACACAGGCTGAAGCAAGTAAAAAACAGTCATTAATGTCTAGTAATTAACATATTCCATCACTAAAAAATATCGATGTAAATAACAAATTAACTACCACAAACAATTTTGTAGGAAATAGTTTAAAATTACTGTTCCTTATTTGAACAAATTTTACTAGTTTTCAGCATCAATGGGATGGGATGGATTTCCCAAGGGATTATTTCAGGCAAATTGAAATTATCTTAAAAGAAATTAGGTTCCATTTCTCAGGTGAGAAAGCGCGTAAAGTAGAGCCAAGTAAGCACTACCGGCGCGGAAAGTAGAGCAAAGTAAGCACTACCGGCGCGTAAAGTAGAGCAAAGCAAGCACTACCGGCGCGTAAAGTAGAGCAAAGCAAGCACTACCGGCGCGTAAAGTAGAGCAAAGTAAGCACTACCGGCGCGTAAAGTAGAGCAAAGTAAGCACTACCGGCGCGTAAAGTAGAGCAAAGCACTAGTGGCACGGAAGTATAGGTAATTAAGCATTACTGAGCTCACTGCAGAAGCGTGAGGAAGTCTAGGAGCGCCTCGTTGCTGAGTGTGGTCCAGTAGCCCACCATGTGCTGCTGGGGGACATGCCTCAGCACCTGCAGGAGGCACAGCAGCAGCTCTGGCGTGGGTCTGAGTTTGTCGTAGCGCTTCACTTCACTAAACTCGCCATTAACGCCGCTGCACTCGCCAGCGAATGACACGCTCAGCTGCCTGTACAACACAAATTCATCAGTAATAAACTAATTATTCACAAAACCTATGTGTACCTATTTATTGCGATTTATTAGTGAATTTATATAAGTACGTAATGACAGAGTTTCAACATTAAGTTATTAAAATTCGTTACTGAATAAGATTAAAACATCACAAATTCTATCATTAATTATCTATTTTCAGATAATTTCCAGAGAAAAAGTATGAATTAAATTATTTTATAATCCGCGTGAAGAGATCAACGCGTTCAGTTCGAAAATAACACCAGGAGAATTTCATTTTTTTCATGTTTTATTCTATAACGTTTGCAGTTAAAATACTACCTACATATGATTTAACACGTTTACTACGATTGCTTCATCTTGTACTATTATTTCATTTTTTGTACTTTTCTTTAAGCAGGGTTGCCAGACGGTCATTTTTTCCGGACAAATTCCGTGATTTAGTTTTTCTCAATTGCGTTGGCCGGCTAAAATTTATGATAGGGGTACTTCCTAATTAAATTTTAAATACTGCAAAAAGAAAATAAATGGAACTTTTATAGCGGAACCTACAAATAAACTAGCATACATTGAATTTTCGGCCTTTTTTTTTTTTGTTCTCGGATTTGGCCGATTTTAGGCAACCTGAATTATGTACCACTACCTCCTGGAGAAATACATTTCGTGGTACGCATATGTACCAATACGTAGTCAACGTGTTAATAAAATGCTACCTACGTACATTTTAACAAAACACTACTTACGTACGTATATTATAATAAATACTAGCCACCATAATACTACTACTACCTCGAATGAGTTTTGGACTCCCTGTCGTCCTTGTCCTCGCTGTCTTCCTCCAGTGTCGTCTCAGACGCCGTCACGGAAGGAGGTACGTCCTCGCTCTCCAGGCTGGTGGACGACCGGCCAGGACTTAGCAAAAGGGCGGTACCCCCTCTTGAGAAAAGCTCCCCCACACCACCAGGACGTCCTAAGAAGAACCCCCCACCAGGAGCAATCCCAAAGCCCCCAGGCCCCGCGATGAGGGAGAGGTAGGAGGCCTCGCTGTGATGTGACGCGGCTGATGGCGTGTGTGAGATGAAGGAGAGCTGATTTGAGGCGTAGGAGTTGATGCTGTTCTGGGAGGAGAGGGCGTGAGTGGTGCGAGGGGCGTGAGGGGTCGAGGGCGTCGTCATGTCAAGGCGTAAGGAGGTGCCGCGCGATGGCGTCTGGGCGACGGGCGTCGTCCCACCGTCCACGCTGCTGGCGTACGTCACCCTGCCGCAGCAAATGTTTGCGTTAATTTTACACCGTAATCAAGCATTGATTCTAACATATAAGAAGAGTAATACGAGCGAATTGTGCGCCTCGAAGTTGAATTTTAATCATAAAAATACAAGTCCATTGTATTGTAATGAAAGAAGTAAAGGTTCATCGCCTCGTGGACTAAAGAAGGAACACGCTTTAATCGTTGACTCAAACATAAGGTCTGGAACAAGTTTAATTTTTTTTCTGCTAAAGCAACGACTGGTTCATAATTTTTTCATCGTTAAACGATGCACAAATCGCAACATTGCAGATCTTAAAAGATTTAGGCAGAAGATTGTAAAAATTTCTCACAGCTCAATTAGAAGAAGATTTTGATGCCGTTGAATGAATCATAGAGCAGTCAGAAAACTGAATGATGTCAACATGGCGCACTACTCATCAAATGTTGCGCAGGCTTCTCCTTTATACCTACGAAGCCGCAGTCAAATGTTATGCAGGCATCTCCTTCATACCTACCACGCCGCAGTCAAATGTTGTGCAGGTATCTCCTTCATACCTACCAAGCCGCAGGTAAATGTTGCGCAGGCTTCTCCTTCATACCTACCAAGCCGCAGTCAAATGTTGTGCAGGCTTCTCCTTCATCCTACCAAGCCGCAGTCAAATGTTGCGCAGGCTTCTCCTTCATACCTACCAAGCCACAGGTAAATGTTGCGCAGGCATCTCCCTCATACCTACCAAGCCGCAGTCAAATGTTGCGCAGGCATCTCCCTCATACCTACCAGGCCGCAGTCAAATGTTGTGCAGGCTTCTCCTTCATCCTACTACGTCGCAGTCAAATGTTGTGCAGGTTTCTCCTTCATCCTACCAAGCCGCAGTCAAATGTTGTGCAGGTTTCTCCTTCATCCTACCAAGCCGCAGTCAAATGTTGTGCAGGTTTCTCCTTCATCCTACCATACCAGGCCGCAGTCAAATGTTGTGCAGGCTTCTCCTTCATCCTACCAAGCCGCAGTCAAATGTTGTGCAGGTTTCTCCTTCATCCTACCAAGCCGCAGTCAAATGTTGTGCAGGTTTCTCCTTCATCCTACCACGTCGCAGTCAAATGTTGTGCAGGCATCTCCCTCATACCTACCACGCCGCAACCTCACCGGTTGTTCTTGCTTCTGGTGCTGCTGCGAGCCTCGGTCTTCCTGATGGCGTTGGTCTCTGGCGTAGGGGCGCGTGGCCCCAAGGGCGCGGCAGGCGTCTGGTGCAGAGGGCGGCTGCTGGGCCACGTCAGTCTGTTGATGTTGTCTAGCAAGACGCCCACGATGGGCAAATATAGGCAAGCGATCCGGCCCTGTTGGTTCTGGGGAACAAGAAATAATTTATTTTCTTGCTGCAAAGACACATCGATTATAATTATCTGTCACATATAATAACGTGGGACATAATCAAAGAAATAGTTGGATGTTTACTCAATATACCGCAATAAATAATCAAATAAGACACATTCAAATCATTTTGACCGTTTTAGCTTCACCATTTTCAAGGTTTGACAGATTTGTAAACAAAATTCAAAGTAACATAACATGAAGAAATTCTCCATCTGCGTTATCATCCTCCCCTACAGATCATTGTTAATTTGTAACGTTCACTAATAAAGTTCAACGTTGACCACACCTCTTGCATGTAGCGGTCGTCCATGGAGTGCTTGGCAAGGAGGTCCCTGAGAAGAGCAACACCTGCGCGCTGCACCTCCCCCACTTCACCAAGACAGCCCACCACGGCACCCACCACCACACCCACCAGGTAGTGACGGCTCACAAACCACTGAGTCAAGCGGTACTCTTCAGGAGCTGTCAATAAACAAGCGTTCGCATTACAAATTTTTAATTCGGAACTCGGATTAAGACGATGCAGAGGTAAGGCATAAACCAAAGTCATTCATTTCAATGACAAGTCTCTATGAAAGTTTCTCAGGCAAAAGTTATGCTAAATTTGCAAAACCAAAGGTAGGCACACAAGCGAAGGAACCCGCTGCTTGTAAGCATTTACATGAAGAAATAACACATGCTACAAAACAAATTTGCTACACAAAACATTTATATTAAACGAGTAACTCTGTTATAATTTTTGCAACAATTTCTGTAATCTGTATGCTTCTCAATTCTTCACCGCCGAGAGGAAGTCATTAGCGAGACTCAATGAGTTCGAGAAAGGAACAGATATGAAGGTTTAGCTACAAGTGCATCAGCATCAGTATCATTTGCAACAACGTCCCGACTGACTGTGTAGGAAATAACTAATAATTGCACTCACTAAGCCTAAGTTTGGCCTCCTTGGCAAGGTGGGCGGTGTCAAAGATGGGCAGGTTGAGCTGCACGTAGTGGGGGTGCGCGGACACGATGCGCAGGAACGACAGCTTCATGAGCTGCAGACCCACGCGGTCGCCGGGGCTGAACGCCTCCAGGTAAACCTTCACGAGGCTGAACACGAACCCGCGGTCCATCAGGGTCAGCATGCGCTGCAATATGAGGGATACAATTGCGTGCCTTGGAAATAGATGTCAAGCTTCGCTAAATTTGATTAGATAAATCTTATTCACTTTTCCTTTGAGTTCAACACATGACAGGAATCGTTAAAGAGTTATATATCTGGAAATTTATATTTGTCACAGATGCAATACGAGGAATACAATTTAATGTCTTGAAAATAGTAGTCAAGCTGCATAAATTGTATGAAATCAATTAAAATCGAATGTTTTTAAATCTCAACACTTAGCCGGAATATATATTGAGTATAATATCGGGAAATTTATCCTTTTTAGCGCATTTTCTCATTTATGGAAAAAAGGCGCTATTGTGCTCGTCATGTCCGTCCGTCTGTCTGTCCGTCCGTGACCACGTTTTCATCGACGAGAAAATGCGCTCACTGTCACTCACTGCAGTGAGTACCGAGTTATTTTTTTACAAGCATGAACTATCATACAGCCAAACTAGCCAGGACTTATTACAATTGAAATCAATTTTCAATATCAAGTTTCAAACCAATAATATATGAACTGCTCGTTAGACTGTACATTTTTTCGTCAAAAATACAAATAAACAAATATTTTTGTCACAGACTCGGAGAATACACAGTACCAAAGCCTCGGAGGACACAAGCAGGCAACTTACTTAATAAACAAATATTTTTCGTCACAGCCTCGGAGGATATACAGTACAAAAGCCTCGGAGGACACCAGTAGGCAACTTACTTAATGAACAAATATTTTTCCTCACAGCCTCGGAGGATATACAGTACTACCAAAGCCTCGGAGGACACAAGCAGGCAACTTACTTTAATGAAGAGCGCGAGTGCGGTGTTGGCAGTGCGAGCGTGCGGTTGTTTGCTCTGCTGGGTGATGTGATGAGTCACTGACTCTACTAAGCTCCGCACCCAAGAGTTAAACGACGAGCTGAACCGTTCACGACGATCCTTCTAAGAGGCAGGAAAAACTTCATTTTACATTGTATATTATTTACGAATCCCCTTCATCAGCGGATGTTTTTACTCTGCATTATGCATATAAATTTCACAGATCAACGTCACCAAGGATTCAATGGGAGAAGAAAGAGGAATGAGCTCCAAACAATCATCAAATATTTTAAAACTTTAATTCGATAAAATTTTAATTCAATCTGTTCCGAGTGGTAGATCGTACGGGAAGACAATATGAAGAGAAGGAATGTAAGAGACACAGGATCAGACCGCATATGGCTCAGTGAACAAGTCACCCATGAAATGGTTTCTTTCCGGTCTAATTGCGCTAACTGGAACCCAAAGGACATTAATTCACATTACACTATTTTAATTCATCCGTGAATTTTCTCCTTAATGCGGTAGTTGGTTAAGTGAAGAATAATGCGTTAACTAAAAATATTTAAGGACCGGACAAAGTTTCATACTGCCAGGAACTGCAATGTTCACCATCAGAATTGACACGGTTCTGTCAACAGTGCCAGTCTGCCAGAGTGTTGATATTACAGACCAAATTCTCAAGAACAAATCTAAATGCTAAACTAAATTTAATTTATAAGTGCTTCGCTGCTCCTAGTTTCAAACTCAAAAAAATTTCGTCATTCTTGAATAAGACCTTGATTCTGTTGGAGGTGAGAAGAGACGTCGCCATGGCGCGCAGCAGCAGAGGGAGCAGCAACGGCGTCTGCTGCAGCGATGCGTCGCACACACTCTGCTCATGTCATCACACTCACATCACAACAATCAGCTATTGCGTACTCAAAATAGTGAATTACACACTAGAAAGATCATCCGTTCACTAGAAAATCTACACACCACAATGAAAAAAATATACACCTATTAACCTTTGTTGGACTACATAGATACAACGGTACTTGAACTCGGTACAATTATACGTTGTAAATCTATGCAAGGTTGAATTAGACTAAATACCTATGTAAATAATAATAATAAATAAATAATTATAATGAATTTAATTAGTGTGTGTGGGCCACAGACTTGGTCGGTGACGGGAGGGCGCAGCACCGTGGCCAGGGCGCGGGCGAGGGCCTCGTGCAGGCTGCAGCCTCCCTGGCCCGCGGGGGGCGCCGCACGACTGCGCTGCTCCACGCTTACTTGGTACTGCAACACCACGTCGAGTTAGGACACACTGCAACACTTGGGACACACTGCAACTATAGCAACACGCGACACTGCAACACGCGCAACACAGGACACTGCAACACAGGACACTGCAATACTCGCAACACACGACACTGCAACACGCGCAACACAGGACACTGCAACACTCGCAACACACGACACTGCAACACGCGCAACACAGGATACTGCAACACTCGCAACACACGACACTGCAACACTCGCAACACAGGACACTGCAACACGCGCAACACAGGACACTGCAACACGCGCAACACACGACACTGCAACACGCGCAACACAGGACACTGCAACACTCGCAACACAGGACACTGCAACACTCGCAACACAGGATACTGCAACACGCGCAACACAGGACACCACAAATATCGCAACACACGACACTGCAACACTCGCAACACACGACATAATAAGATGACCTTGATGTATACATGGGATTACAAGACATAATTCACGCACGACTCATCAAGCTGACCTTGATGTAAGTGTGCACAAGGTCGAGTCTGTTGGCGTTGTGGAGACGAGTGAGCAGCTCGACGAGCGTGGTGACGACGCTGCAGCCCACCTCACCACCACCAGCCATCATCACCAGCAACAGACGGTCTAGCACACTTGGCAGGAACCTGATGAACGTGTCCGTGTCCAGACCCAGCAGCGCCTGCACGGCAATGTCCAGGATTATACATTCCATAGATCAAGATTTAAGATTGATATTTCATAGATAAAGATTAACCGATTTGAAGATTTAAGAGAGAGCATCCTTGTTTCAGGAGCTTAATGACGGTAGATAGCGAAACTATTACTTTCACTATTACTACACTCTTATTATTTGTTACATTTTCTCACAAAAAACATATGCTTTTTTTAGACTTGATTAGACAAGTTTCGAAGATCGAGTTGAAACAGCCAACCCATATTAGGACCAATGAACACGGCACACCAACCTTGACATTCCTGACAGTCTCAGCTTCTGAAGGCCCCGTCTTGACAGAGCCTGAGCCAACGAGCGTCGAGACAGAAGAGCTCCTGCTTGACTTGGGCGTGGATATGGCAGGGGAGATGGCAGAAATTGCGGATATTCCAGATATTGCGCTAAGAGTTTCGGCGTTGGGAACATTAGAACCAGAAGTATTCCTGGAATATCTGAAGCTCTTTTCTTCGCTGTGTAGGCTGGCAGCTTCGGAGCCTGAGTCTGTGCGCTTGCGATATGCGCCAGACACGGAGTCGCTGAGTCCATTCTCAAGTCCCCCAGGGGGATGGGGCGTCCCGTTGTTGAGGGCACCGCTGAAGGCGTTGGCAAAAGGATTGGATGAAGAGCTGCCTGAAGACGTGGTAGGAGTCTGGGGAGGCGTGAGCAGAGCTGAGGTTGTCTGGAAGAAGTTGTGCAGGTGCTGGTCGTTGGTCAGGACAGAAGACAGCAGGCGACTGCGATATCGGAACACGTTCTTCTGACTGTCCACCCACCGCACCTCAGGACCGGCAAACTAAAAGAAACTTTTTTGTCAACAGTGAGCAATGTTAATTTTCAGACATCCGTTTTATTACAAACAGCAAAAAAAAAAAGTGAAAATGACAAAATTTAAATAAGAATCAACAATCGCAGAGAAGTACGACTATCCAATTTTGTTACAGAAACTTTGGAAATTTAACGTCTTTATTCTAATTTGCTTTAACATCTTAAGTGGAACATCTTACCCCTTTGTCCAGACCGAAGGGCTCAACAGACAAATACTTGGCGGGTAAATGAGCAGCAACAGGGAGCGTCTGGTCCTCAGTGTTGAGTCTGCCCTTGAACAAAAGAGGCGACCAGGCATAGCCGACGACTTCTACAGGCTCGTCCTTCTTGCCAGCCTTGGCGCCCTCGATCGCCAGGTGGCAGAAGGTGAACAGCAAGTGGTGGTTGCTCGTGAGGTTGTGGGGCAGCGCCAACTGTCCACACAAGTCACAACCAAGAACTACCAGCATGAGAAATTACCACAACAACAACAAAACCGAGAGCATTTCAATGGATACTAATCAATGGAAAGAAAAAAGAGTAAGATTCGAAGTAGTTGTTCAAGACCTACGGATATTTTACGCTAAGGTAATAAAGAAAACTGTAATTGAATAAAACCACAGTTTTATTCAATAAGAGACAATACCTGAACTTGTGAAATTGAGATTATAGTGATTTTTCCTAGCCGATCAATGTGCCAAAAATATACAAGAAAAAACAGCAACTTTTAGCTTCGATCTAATCTTTTATTGTGATCAATGCCTTCAAGACGTTGACTGAAATATTTATCAATGGAGCTTGAGGCTGACCTTGATCTCGTCTCCCCACTCCGGGAAGGAGTTATGGTGCAGGACGACTGTGGTGGCGGAGGTGGTGAGGGTGCCCACAGCACCACCGCCCTGGCACGGCCTCGAGTACACCACCCGCAGGGGCACGGCACCTTCTGCGTCAGAATCGCGCAGCTCGACGACGCAAACCAAATTTCTAGCTCGGCCGAATATTTTCTGGTTCTCGTAGTTGAGGTGGCGGGGGTACACGTACAGGTGGTTCACGTAGGACCAGTAGGGCTGAGCGTCCTCCAGCTGGTCTGAGGGAAACTCCTGCACTTCGATGGTCGGTTCGTGGGTAGGAGGGTTCGGGAAAGGCACCACGGGTTCCAGTGAAGGCGTCAAAGAGTCTGTAAATGCACGTCAAAAGTATTGATTTTCGACTCGATTAAAATAGGCTGTGTCGTCAATAGAGTAATGAGCGTAATTCTAGCTGCTCAATAAAAAAATTAAAGCAAGGAAAGAAAGTTGTAATTTCAAAAAATAACGTTAAGAATGGATCCGAAAAAAATTGAGCAAATCATTCATGATGTTGGATAAGGCAGGGGAAAATTCCATAGACTGCGATGCCAACATTACAGCTTCCTCACTTGGTGTGGTGACTTCCATCAAGCTAAGTTTAATGCTCAAGCTGCCAGGGATGACGGTGAATTTATTGAGCTTGTCAGCCTTCTTGAGGTCATTAAGTAGCTTGATCATTTCAGACTCGCTCGTCTTCTTCTCATCAAACTTATAGATGGGAGAGAAGTCGGTATTGGGATCGAGCTTTCCGTCTGCGGTGAAGAGCTGCCGCGCTGCCCACCCCAGGGGCATGCGATACTGACTCAGCCTGCCAAAAATAGCATCCAAATTGAAACAAAATAAGACGGTACATACGGCATGGTCTAAAGAACCATATCGTCTAATTTAGAATAGGGGGCAATAGTTCGCTGGTCAAGAAGAATTGAGCTATTTTTTGAGGAGATTTCATGCAGAAATTAACCTCGAGCAACAAGTTTTGATGGTCTTTTGGAGCCGAGCGAGGGCTTTAGGGTCCTGGTGGTGTTTAAGGTAAGGCTCGACCACAGAAGACACGCCGCCTTGAAGGACCTTCTGAATCACCACCACCAGAAACACGTTTGGGGACGGACGAGTGCAGCTGAACACGCACTGCGGGACCAGAGTGTGATTTATCACAAAACAAATATAGATAGAATAGTTAGCACGTTCACAATCACGGGTTCATTAGAAGTGGCAGTTTGAGAGAGGACTCTTCTAAACAAGGGAGATTAAAGCAAATCAAAACAAAATTCCTTGCAATTTCAATCCAGACTGAACAGCAAACAGAAGTATCGTCGTAACGGTACTTACCTGTTTGGGATACGCAAGCCATTCCTCTGGAACCCCCGCTAGGTTGAGGGGAACGGTAACGGGGCAGTTGCTACTGCCGACCTCTCCTTCAGCGCCTCCTCCTCTGCTGCGAGGTCCTCCAGAATCCAAACGAAGTCTCCCACACCCGCTACCAAGACCCGGAGTTCCCCCCTGCAGTAAACTCCGCGCCATGGGGGAGTTCAAGTCGAAGTAAAAGTCTTCAGAAATTTTGCTGCCAGTTGCAACGTTGTAGAGGGCCAGGTGCGTGATGTAAGGTTCCAACTACAAACATGAGCAAGAGAAAGTCCAAAAATTAGACAGACACAAAAAGATGGCTAAATGTACGTCTTTGTCCACAATTACCAACACTATATCTACTTGAAACATAATTTTTTTTTGCCAATGTATTTGGGATAAGCAAAATATGCCCAGTGAAACAAGTCATACCGATGCCCACTCAATCTACGCCCAACATCCCAGAGGGCAACGTGAACACGTGCTTTGGTAATAAATGACAAACCAGATAATGAGAGCTCCACTAGAGCCACAGTCTGACATGAACACTTTCAGATATTTGCTTTGACATCTACAAGATGAATGGCTTGGTCGATCTCTTGCTTTCAATTGGATAGCTAGAGCCCCATGTTGCTCGACAAACACGCTTATAATATTCTCATCCAGTAAATAGACATAACATATAAGTTGAAGTATTATATGTATTCTCGATACAACTAGATTTTAATTGGATTGAGAAAAATGATCATTCTTTGGTCAGTTTGCAGGCATCTAATGCACCACCTGCAACAAGACGCCTAATGCACCACCTGCAACAAGGCGCCTAATGCACCACCTGCAACAAGGCGCCTAATGCACCAGCTGCAACAAGGCGCCTAATGCACCACCTGCAACAAGGCGCCTAATGCACCACCTGCAACAAGGCGCCTAATGCACCACCTGCAACAAGGCGCCTAATGCACCAGCTGCAACAAGGCGCCTAATGCACCAGCTGCAACAAGGCGCCTATCAAGGCGCCTAATGCACCACTTGCAGCAAGGCGCCTAATGCACCACCTGCAACAAGGCGCCTAATGCACCACCTGCGACATGGGGCCGTCTATGGAAGCATCAACAGGCGCCTGCAGGCGGAACTTGAGGCTCTCACAGGCGGCGCGCACCCTCACCCCCGCAGTACCGAACTCCGCAGGGAGGCTCACCCCAGACTCGTCCCAGCACTCCATGGGGGAGTAGGACAGGTCCTCTCCACGCTGTCAGGAATCAAACAGCAATCATAAAGTGAAAGGAAAATCCTATAAAACTGTGATAAAATCGTATAAAAAAAATACTGGTAATTGTACCAGTACCAGTAATGACAGCATCAATTATTAGGGAATTACTCATCTACTCATCAGAACTAAAAAAAACTCTTAAGATAGAAAATAAACACGAATGATTTAATATTTGTCAGTAGTTGATGGCTATGGGATGGTTAGTGAAGTGCCTAACTTTGATATCTGGGCAGCAATTGAAGAGGTTGGAGCGAGCGAGCTGCCTGCCCTGCTGACGGCTGTAGGAGTTCTCGTTGGCGAGCTTAGCGAGGTGAGGGCTGAGGCTGTGCTGCAGGCTGCGCAGTGTTCCGTACTGACCGTTGCTTATGCTTGCTGCCGATGACAGCGGCGTCGCCACTCCAGATGATGGACTCACTGTGCCCATATATTAAGTCATTATCATTACAAGCTCAGTAATGTACATATGCAACTAGCTGGTGAACCTGGCGCTGTCGGGAATAGATAATCTCTGAGATTTTAAGAACATCGAATGCAATCACCTTAAATCGCGTTTTCCAAGGAGAATTGTGCGAGATTTACTGAAAACGTATTGCTCTAGAAAAACAATTAATACAACTGAAGAAAGATGTCATAAAGAATTCCGGTATCCAAAATTTCGTCATCCCGAATCCCTTTACGTGGAATCCCATTTATAATTATAAAACTTAAATTTACACAAGTCAGTTTAAAAATAAAATTTCAGGTACCGTACCGATACAATAAGTATCGTAGATACGTGCTCGAATAGCCACTATATATTTTGTAAGGCTAAAAACACAGAATATTTTGACACATATAAAAGATTACTACTAAATTAAAGCTTTTCTGAACAGGTACACTCCTAAAAAGGAAGTGTGACTTCATTCCGGGAAACAAATAGATCTTGGAAATCTATTCGTTTTTGAACAGAAAACACAAAATGTGTTTAAGAACGTTGATGTTACCTATATGAAATCATGATGTTTGAATAATCGGCATTTCTTGTGGAAAAGCAATATAAAGTCGAGTTTCAATATAGCCGATGCAGTGCACATCTTTGACCACTGACGAATATTTCCAATGCCAATTAGCCATAAAATGAAGCAAGATAATCACACGTAATACAAGAGCTGAAAATCACTGACAGAGGAAAAGTTTACACAGAGAGGAAGTGTCAATGTTATTTGCATACGACGCCACACCTTTTTCCCTGGTTCTGTCAGGAGTGAGCTCATTGGCCTTGTCAGCGTGCAAGACGCGCGTGAGCTTGTCAGTCCAGTCCTCCATGTCAGCATGGCTTTCAGCTGACAGAACGCTCACACCTCCACCACCTGCTGCTGACAGCTGCAGCTCGAAGCAACAAGCTCCGCGAGCAGGGTTCTGAAAAAATAAATGCACTTAAAATATCGCCATTTTAGCGCATTTTCTCATTTATGATATGAAAGAAAGGCGCTATTGTGCTCCCCATGTTCGTCCGTCTGTCCGTCCGTCCGTCCGTGACTTCACGTTTTCGTCGACGAGAAAATGCGTTCTCTGTCACTCACTGCAGTGAGTACTGAGTTATATTTTTTCTTAATTTTACTAAGTTAACTACAGTAGTAGATTCGTAACAAAAACATTCATGCAATTTTATCCAGGTAACAAAACTTTAGAAAATATAATAAACTTTCTCTATGACTATCTACCATACCGCTTTCTATTGTATTAATAATTGTATGCACCTTATTGACGGCAGTGCAGAAGTCTAGGACGATTGTGCCCTTAGAGTCATGGCGTCTCTCATCTTTGTGAAACTCCAACAGATAAGTGCCGTCCACCTCCTGCCTGCTCAAGTAACACGAGAAAACCTTAAGATAAATGTATAGAAAACTTTCATTGAAGATGGGCCATACGTAGTACCCCTTGCTAGCATAAACAGTTGATTACTATTGCCTTACAAATATTGAGCAGACACAAACATCTGACCAAATTCATAGCAGTTTGGGTAAACATGTTACTCACCGTAAGCAGGCAAAGCGCCGTTTGAATGTCTTGGCTGAAAAATTACTGAAGAGTTTCTCGTTAGCAGAATCTGGCCCTTTGAGTAGATACCCTTTCTTGAGAATGTTTTCCCCCGTGTTGAGCACAGTCTGCGAGGAAAGTCTCTCATCAAAAACAATGATTACTTATATATAATAAAATACTTAAAAAAAACTTTTTAAAAAACCACGTTTTTCTTGTGGTTTGACGTACGTATCGATGATACGCAGCGTCAGCGCCTGCTCGTCTATAACGTGAGCGCCCGCACGTCATACTATATATATATACTTTACTCAATTAAGCTAATTTAGGTCTCTAATTGCTAGTTTTTATGATTATATCTGGAAATTGTTAGGCGAAAATAGCCTGCATGCCGAATTTCAGATCTCTAGAGCAATCAGAAGTGGGCTAATTTTCGTTGTCAATGTTAACAACAAACAAACAAACAAACAAACGCGGAGCTAAGTTAAGAAAAACGTGTTAAAAATTTGAATGAACAACTTCTGGCCAGACAACTTTTACAGCTTGGGCCTACCATGTCTCCTTGTTCAATGTCCGTGTCCACTTCATAGACTTGTTCTTTCAAATCCTCCAGCTTTGGCAATCTGCGTGACGAAACGGACGATCAGTGAGATGTAGACGCAACAAAACATGAACACACCGCCACAGTCTACTAATTCTACATCATTTCAGCTCATGCCGAACTAATCAAACAAATGCAAACAATGACCAAATAAATATCGAATTATTGACTAATCTGTCATTTTAGCACTGCTAATATCAAATTGGGTCATCCCAGTTAAGGTCAAATATGCCCATACACGCCTGCTAAAAAATAGTCGGAAATAAACAATGAAATATATTTTGTCTGCATTGCAAACAAATATATGACCTGAGCTTGACCTTCGATATAGATCGCTTACCTTGGGAGTTGAAAGTAAGACCCAGCATACGCGCCGTCCTTGTATGTGACAACTGAGTGCGGTGAACAATATGTGTGCAGACACTGGCGCACCAAGGGACTTTGTACCTCCCCAGACTGCACCACCGACGCAAGGCAGTGCAATGTGCGCTGCTCCCTTGCAATTGTTGTGTACTAACGCAAAAGAAAAGTTGAAATGAGTTCATATAGAACACACAAAATTACTTCAACAATTTTAATACAGTTGATCTTACTACAAATATACTTATGGCAATGTGGTTCTGAGTTCACACTAATCTGAGCTAAAGTCCATAATTTTGCCCAGAAACATTAACAACAGAGCTCAAAGTTTTGTAAGAGCCTCTAGAAAAGGAGATTCCAACCTCTTTGCAAATACAAGTAGTGATTTTTAAATCATTTTGAATGATTGCATAATCGATTTCAAAATCTTTCATCCAATTTTATCCAAAAATAAACTCCTTGTGGTGCACCAAAACATAAACAAATAATGCCTACATTAGCTACTAAGTAAATAGGCACAAGACTGACACTCACTTGCACTGCATCATGAGGGATGAGCAGCACCTCACGCACAGGATCATTACTGAGGAGAACCTTGTTCTTGTCAATGTAGTCTTCAAAATCCAAGGGCTCCACCAAGCGGGATTTAGCTTGCTTGAATCGAAGAATAAAGGAAAAATACACTAGAACATGATTGTTGTCCTTGAAGCACAAGTCTTTACTGTGAATAAATTAATGTCTATTTTAGGATAGTATTGCAGTATACACACACATTCATAATATACACATATATATATATATTTACACACGTGCGATTGATGACCAGAGAATTCGTTGGTTTATATTATCAGGGAGTGGAACTTTTCTTCAGATGACGGTAGATAAAAAGGCAAGTTTCAGAAAGTAGTTTTTCTTTATTAACGACGTTTCAAATGCAACAAACATTCATTTTCAACCAAATGTTAACTCTTATCAAATGCTAAAACAATATATATATATATAAATGATTCTACAGATAGAATAGGCAATTCAGCAATTTCGGCATGATATATATACTATCTAGGGAAGTCAGGGCTAAATTTCTAAATGAGTGGTAATAACCATTCTATTTTTGACAATAAACCAAAAAATGTTAACTCTCAAATGCCCAATAAAATGAAATTAATTTGAAACTAGCTTTCAGATTGATGAGTTCATAACAAGCATATAATGATGATAAAACAAAGTACAATTCACAGCCCAAAAATACCTAGGCTCTGGGATTATTTGTACATGAAAAATGTTCAATGCTAAAACAATAGAACAATAATATTACAAATTGAATGCTTCATACAAATTCAGTCACAAAAAAATAGTTGTTAAAACAACATTCAATGACTATTCAGCCATTCAAGTAGAGTAACCCAAATAAATGTCACTAGATGTTGACTGTAATAGTTCTATTTTATAATATGGCACCAAAGTTTGCATCTATGGCAACCAAATTATTATGATTAAGTAGTTTTAGCAACAAATCCTCAGTAATAGCCTTGATGCTAAATGAGGCATGCCACCAACACTACCTATTGGTGAAATTGTCTTTAGTCTGTCTGGGTGTAGTTTGTGGATACAAATCCTCTTCTCAGTTCTGTTTATCAGCATACAGTACCTAGTTAGCTTGAGTCCCTTGTGTCACTGAGAGCTTGCCACAAATGCTTAGTTGAGAGCTTATACAGCATATGTATCAAAAAGACAAGAAATTGTGGACAGAACTAAGAAGTTTATAAATGGGCTGGGCACCTTAGTAAGGCCTCCTCAGCAGTTAGCTAGAATGATATGTCATGTAGGACTTGTCAGAGTTACCTGACCTGAGGGTCAAGGCCTTGGCCTCATACCTCTGTAATCTCATATACCGTATACCACCATACATCAAGATATGTAAGTTAATATAAAGAAGTGTCTTACTTATACCTAACACACATAGTCAAGGGATCCCTATCCTCAGGTAGAAATACATAATCAGTCAGATGACAATATGAATGCTAGACAAGTCCTAGACAAATTAAAATTAAGATCACTCATGGGAGTCTGCCATCTGGCATCCAGGAGGAAAAGTTGCAATCTCAGAAAAACTGAATTATTAAAAAAAAAATTGCAGCACCGCTGATGACTGTTGAATACATACCTACTTGATCAGATGAATTATTTTATTTTGTATCTAACAGTTAATAAAGCTAAAATATCTTTAACTTATTCAAATTATGTAATTTGGGATTCATTTTATTTTAATAAAACGCTTGTTATCTCCAACTTTGTTCAAAATGGTGTATTTTATGTAAATTTTAAATTTTCTGACTTAATAGTCTAATGTAGTTTTAATATCAATTCCTTAGGTCATAGAAAATAATTCATACAGATATGGCTAAAATATTGTGCCTCCATTGGGCTGTGGCTGTGCATGTAATATATGTACTTTATGAGCTATGACAGTAGCTTTACCATCACTTTTGACCCAAGAGATTTACAATAAATGAATTACTTCCAGTCTTCTAATCTCATTGTTAACAAAAGTACATGCCAAAGCTGTGCAATTCTAAATTTGTATAAAAATTGTTACAATGGAGCAACAATATTTTGGCAATAAGAAAATTTCAATATTGCATTGGTTTGGTCCTTCAAAAATTACAGGATTTGGGAAAGCTCCACTCTAAGTAGCACAATAGCATCATGGACAGCATATTCTTTATTATCACAACACTTCTCTTTACTTTCATTTCTTATTGTTTGTTTGTCTTCTACAAATCTTATAATTGGCATTCAACACACTTCTATCTCTCCAATCAATCTGAAATTTTGCACACTGGTGTAAAGTTGGAGACAATGAGAATCAACTTTATGAGACAATGAGAATCAACAATGAGAATCAATTGAGAGAATAAATCAGTTTAAAAATTGAAATCAAGTTTTTTTTTTAATATTGAAAAAAAATGAAAAAATGAATAATTTTGTCTGCTACAAATCTTTTTATCAATATTTAACACACTTCTACCTGTCACAGTCCAATTGATCTGAAATTTTGCACATTTGCATAAAGTTGGAGACAATGCACAAATCAATTGAGGGAATAAATCATTTTGAAAATGTAAATTTTGTTTATAGGCCTATATTAAAAAAAATTTTAAATTAATTTTTTATTTTTTGTCAATAAAATTAGAAATTCATTGTAAATGTCTAACATCGTAGACACTGGATTCTTCAGAAGTGTTGTCTGTAAAAAGTAATTTTTAAATGCATATTATTCTTGTCTTGCAAGCAAAATAATGCTTAAAAATTAGGTGAAACAAATTAATTTATTAGACTGGCCTTAGCTCAGTCACAACAAATTAATTTGAGAATAAAAATAAGAATGCATTATACCTGAATTGCTGTTGCTTTCACAGCTTGAGAAACATTTTCTCTCAGCTGAGCTGCTGTTCCTAGCTTAGTTAATCCACGAGTGAACCTCCTCTCTGCCATTGTAGTTGAAGGAGAGCAGAGAGAGGTAGCCCCTGAAAACAACTAGAATTTAAAGTTCTGCAAATTTTTATGACTCATTAAGATTAGTGGGAAAATGTCAAACCTACAAAACATAAAACTTAGAAATTACCTAGCCTGGCTAGCCAAGCCTCCAGGCTCCAAGGGCCCCTAGGCCAAAGAGAAACTTCATCTTATCACGATACTCGATACACAGCATTGACAGCAAGTGGCCAAGTGCACATGTATAATATGACATTAGTGAAGGAAAAAATATCAGTTATAAACTATTAAAAGGCCATATACTTCAAGTGAATAATGTACAACCTCTTGAACTACCTGCGTGAAGAACTACTGGGAACACTGTAACACAAACAGCGAACCACCTCCCTTCAATGTTGTGAACGCTCCGCGCACCGCTCGGTCCGCGTTCTTCCTAAATATCGCTAAATCGCCGCTAGATTTGAAAGCGATTAATTCTTCGACACATTTTGGAACATGATTTATAGCCAATACGTCCATGTTTTAGAAGACCTAAAAGATTCAAAATTCACAAATTGTAATGTTTGTACGTCCTTTGAAGCTTATGATATATTTTTAAGAAACTTCACACTAATTCAGTACGAGAAACAATAATATTTCACCTCTACACCATTTAAATTTCAAACTTATGAGTATAATATTAGATGTACCATTTCATTTTCCATATAAAGAGATTCATACCGCTAATGACGGGATCTAAGAGCTCAGTGTGTAATGAGTCACTGTGTGCTGACTGTTCTATCGAACTACTCTCTCTTCACACGCTTTTCATCGCTTGCAGTGTACTCGTTGAATATATCAGTAGCACGACCAGGCCGTTGATAAAATAAGCTCCCTCGTTTCAACTGGTACGCGTGTTTGTCCTTAAAATACTTTATATTCACATGCTTTTAAATATTTACTAAGGTGAATCTGGGAATTAGTGGAATTAAGTATAGGGCGAACTGTATAAGGAAACAGTATTTAGGGCTGGACGATGCTAGTCAGTTCGGTCGGGATCTGTGAATCGTTGCAGAGGATGAATTTTTAATACTGGCCGCTCGATATGAATAAAATAAATACTTGAGCACTCGTTTTGTCTGATAGATGTTAAATTACCTCATGCGTAGGCAGCGATGTTATTTCCGGCTCGGACAATTTTGCGGCCAGACTCGCGGCCGGTCTGCCAAATTCACGAGACGTCTCTGCTGAGGGCCCGTTGCACTTAGGCGACGGATATGTTCGGTTTTTAAGGCTGCTAACGTGATGGACAATCATTGTTACGTTATTGGATTGTGCTGTTATTCAATTATGTGCTGGTCAGTATTGGACTCCGACAGACACTCCTTGAGTTATGGCCATCTTGGGTCATATTTGTAAAGTAGGGATATATTTGAGCACCGGATTCTATGAATTTTAGCACGTAATTGCATATGCTTCTATGCCTTATAGAAATTATAGTATGCTTGTTCACGCAAAGGAATACGACGTAATTGTGCAGTTGGGCATTGCTGGCCTTCAACCAGTTCAACCATGCCACTGGCTGTCTACGGCCTTCTTTATCAGAGGCCCGCTCGAACTCTCGTAAGATTTTGAAGGGAACCTCTACAGAAGCGGGGTAAAATATAAAAATTTTTAGGAGAGTGTTTGTTTGTGAGTGAAGTTTTTCTAATTGTGTCATCAACTTAAAATTATTATAGTAATTTTTATTTTTTACCGTTATTTCTTTTATGTCTTCCTGAACGCTATGGCGAAGAATCAATCGCCTTCAAACTCAGAGGCGGTGACTCACCAGCGCGGGAACGGATGACTCACGCTTCCCGGCCAGTCCGCAAACGGTTACCATGGAGACAAGCTGTGCTTGCAGAAGCCATCACCATCTCGACAGACGAACATTTAGAGTTTAGACTAAGAGCTTGTGCTAAGTACGCAGTACGATCCAGTACACAAGAAACATATAATTTTCAAAACTTCACAATGGAAAAATCGATTGAAAATGAACGTAAAGAAAGAAGCGCATTTGATGCAATTAAACCCAAATTTTGTCCTGCAACAGCGGTGCTACTAAAAGGTGTATTGGCTTAAGAATCGATAATTCCCAATTTGCACACATCACAAATGTATGTATGAAATTTTTCCGCGCGACAAAAATTTCATGAAATTAAGTATGAGAATAGCTCTAGATTATAAATATTGGTCTACGTGGTCCATAGATCGAAAATAACGCTGTATATTATTACAGAACTTCTCCGAGAATCTGGAACCAGTGCAACAGCAGAACATCAATTGTATCGAAATCTGGAACAGAAAAATCTCCAAAATCTGAGGAAACACAATCAAAACTCCGTAGGAATCGTTCGCAGTCTGCATTCGAAGCTCAAAATGTAAACTGCAAAATCACGAGAATTGCGAGAAAACGATCATTGGAGCAGATCCATGCGAAGTTGAAGGAGGAGCCCAAGTTGGAGTATTGCCCGCGATTTCCAAGTGAGACTTGCTCATACCACTTCAAACAATGGTGTCTTAATGATATTGTATTCGAAATCGTAAATTCATTGAGAAAACATCATTTTCCAATATGTATTACATTATATGAAGCGAATATGCTCATAATTGAACAATTAATTGTCAAGGCGAAAAGTTTTCTGTGAGCCTGATTTTTGTCCACTAAGCTAATTCAAAATTTGAATTGCGTTGAACCGAAATATGGCAGCTCACTGTTGAGCATCTATTCCAATGATGTCATTTATTATTATAAATATACTATGACACAAATAGTCATGCTTACTCATGTTTGCACAGAATATAACAAGGACTCCACGAGTAGATGTCAGGATCTGATGTCAGGGCTCGCCATTGCGCAGACCTGTCGCCGGCGCCCTGATAAGTGGGCAAACGATCAGAAATCAGCATCGACATCAGATGAGGATCTTCTTGAAGAAAAAACTGTGCAAGGTACCATTTTGTTATCAAAAGATCATGACGTCAGCTTGCAATGATATTTACACGGTTTGTTTTTATGTGATGTCAGTCTTAGAAAATTTTTCTCTAAAAAATGAAATAAGTATGATAGAAGACAATATCACCCGCAACAAGTCACTTTCCTGTATTTCGAATAACAAACAAACTGCACTTGACTTAATTAACAAATGTCTTTACAACGATGAACTAAAAGGTAAATATTGTGATTTGTGAACGATGTAATAAAACGACATTGTAAAAAAACATGGAAGTTTATGTTTTGGTCGCCTGAAACAATTTTTTTTGTTTGGCAGTATGCAGAGAAATCCAGGAGCGTGTCACATGGCTGCGTGAGATGCAGAAGTTGAGAGCCGTCACGCAAGACGAGGCGGCCATCATCAACGCGCAGCTCGCTACGAGACTGCGCTTCTTGCAGAGCACCTCTTAGTGAACTGCGGTAACACTTTATTTAACTCCCAGCCTGGGATCAACAGAGATATTTGGCACTGAAACTTGCTTTACCTCGTAGAAAATTGCGATAGCACTACACGCAACGCCCAGCATGGCCTCACTAGTCTCTAATGACCCCGGAACTTAACGCATCCCTTAAAGAACTGCGGTAACATTGCACGTAACGCACGGCAAGGTCTCACTATAGCCTCTTATTGCACTGGAACTTGATGCACCTCCTTAAGAATCACGGCAAAACTACATTTAGGATGCGGCCATGGACGCAATATGTGCTATTAGTGTTTATTTGTTGCGTGACGACCATCGTCACTTGTGGACATCACCAAATGACGTCCAAATGTTAATGAACATAAAGGATCTGGAGACTTCGCCTAATGGGAAAACCACTCTCGAGTGGTTGAATTATTTAAAATGCTACTAATATGATGAAGGATGACCAAAATTTTCAGACTTTCGAAGTTGTTATAAGATCGTCGCCACCGCAATAACCAAATCTTATTATGAATGGTTTGTTCTAGCTCAGGAAAAAAACAACTAAGCAATACAATATGTTATTTTCATACATACACTGAAGACGCAATGATTTAATAAATGATTATAGTACAGGTCGAATAATACTGATAATTGGCCTTGACGTGTTAAACCCTAACTGACGAAACGAAAGAAGAAGAATGTCATTAAGTCTTCTTAAATTCTAAGGCTGTTTAGCATATCCGTCTTATTGCGCTCTTTTCCGGTACATTTTTTTATATTGAAATGAATGAAATTTGAACATCGCAAAAGTAGGGAGTGTTGTTGGGATTACTGATATATTTAGAATTAGAATACAATTCAAGTTACCCGAAGTTTGATTACAACCTATGTTGATTCTAAGTGCCCACATGTAATATTGTTTACAATAAATTAAAACGCTACAATTCATCATAAATCCTTCAAACCATTTTCTGAATTAAGCTGAACTGTTTTTTGTTATTCCTACCATGTTGGAATAATTAATGGTTTTTTGATACAAATTGTTTCTTTTGTTTCAACTGACTAACCGTATTATCGTTGTTTATAATTTCCCAAAATTATAACTATTCTGCATCAAATGAAAATACAAGTTTTCGAAAGAGTCATTTAAATTTTAATAACCATCATTTTCAAACAACACAAATCGTTCCATCTTTGATGACTGAAATCACGCCCATCATGAAGGGGGCGCCTCCATATCGCTTCACCCAGAGAAATGAGCGAGTCTTAGTCCAAATAGCGATGACGTTTTTGCCTTGTGTGGTTCACCCTGATTCAGATTGCCCCTAGCAAAAGAGGGCGTATCACTATTTGAACGATATGACTCATTCATTTTTATGAGTGAATTAGTGATGAACGCATCGCCGCAAGCGGGGGTCGAACGAGGTGGGCTCCTGGCACCTGCAAGAGACCAGGCACGTCGATTATTCTTTTCCTAGCAAGTCAAATAACATAAGCGGAAGAGGAACGAAAACCGATGCGAAAAGTAGTAAAAAATTATTATTCATAGTTTTAATTCAGACAAAAAAATTCACAACTATTGCGAGAATCGTGGCTTGTTGTTAATAACAATATGTCAACATTATTATAATCACAAAGATCACTCGCCTAACGGCTTACAAGTTTTCCTGACATTCGAGGACATGAGGTCACAATACAGGAGTTTTAAAATCAGTTTAACATCATAGAACTTACTTAAAATAACTAGTAACTCAGTTCAACATGTTTCAACTCACTTCAACAGGAAGCCAACGCCTTTACGGCATATGTAGAATTCCTTGGTGCCAGTTTTTGCAGCATACTGACCATCATCGAGGCGGTTGCAGTCATTAGCTGTAAATATCCAAACCATTTATACTCAATTTATACCTATTTTTGTTATAAGGATCACGTCTATGTTGATACAACCTTAAAAATAGTTTTTAAACCTTTAATTTCACCCTTTATAAGAGGTTTTACTTATTTCCAACCAAAATATCAGTGATTGAATAATTACATTATTAGAAGTCATGCAAACTATGTTGAGGAAAACTTAACCCTGTACCGCCTGACATGAGTAACCGGAGCAATATTGTCACACAAAACTAAAATGCGCAAAATGACTTGCACTGTTGGTAGCCGCCACATACAACATTAAAATATTCTCTTTTGCGTACAAACGTCCTCAGTCTGCTGCACTCAATAGTTTACGTATAATTTAAGTTGAAAGTTATGTTCCCGGAGAATGACATACGGCGATAGAGGGTTAAGTTTCTTTAGAGCGTCGTTCATACCTGAAATGGCAGGAGCGTGACGGCCTGCGTACCGTGCATATTGACCAGGTGACTGGCAGTCGACGTTCGCTGGCAGGTCGCATGCGTGAATTTTGTTATTGAAGTAGAGACCATTTGGGCATTCCAGCCTTTGGGGCTTTGAGTTTACGCCTGATTAAAAACAATGAGGATATTGTCAATATCGTACATAATGACAGAACGTGCTGTTTTAGTGTTTTGGATGTTTGTTTTCATAAAAATTAGTAATTGATAACGTCTACATGTGTCCGGAACACTCGCCGACTCTGAAGAACTTACACTTGAAATATTCGGAGCAGATGGGCGAGGGATAAAGACATTCACATTTGCATTCGGGCGGCAGGATGATCTCGCACTCAGGATAGTCGGCCGCGAAGACGCAAGTTTCATTTTCTGGGTGGAAAACAAGGCCTTCCGAGCAGGTGTGGAATTCGGTGTTTCCTCCCTGCACGGAGTGTGGAGAGGAAATTTGTAAACTAGACACAAAAAGAACTTTGAGCTAAGCTAAATGTTTGAAAGGAGTCAGTCATAATCAAAGAAAAAACATACAAATAATGTTGAGTATTTATATCATTAGTTAGTTCAAACTGCAAGTTAACAGAGAATTTAAAACGTAAGAAAGCTTCAAGTAAATTCTCGATATCTTCATTGGAAACGCGGTTTTGCTTAACGTATTTTTTTTTGTTTGAACATATTAAGTAATATCGTTTCATATGTTGGCAGTTCATCCAGTGAATACTCACATCGCAATAATAGTAAGACTGGCAGTCTTCTGGATGAGGCCTCAGGCAGCATTCGCAGTCGCACACCTCCGGTGGGGTGACAGGAGCTTCAGTAGGCGGTTTTGGCACCACCGGGATTTGGCAATCTAAAGCTTCACCGGCAATGCAAGCTGCATTTTTCGGCCAATTACACACACGAAGAACGGGGTCAAAATGTAATTTTGCCGGGCAATCTTTGACGTGTGGAATGTCGTTGGAACAATGAACCCATTTGCGGCAGTCAGCTGGATGAGCGAATAATCCGTTGGATTCGGGGCACCTTATATCACACTCTCCTCCCCCTGTCCCGCCACCACCGCTTGAGCCGCCACAAGGTTCCCCATTGGCATCGACGTAGGTACCAGTGAAACACTTGGTAGACCCTTCGTGATGGCACGTTAGAAGTTCCTGATCCCATCGAGTACCCGGAGCACAGGGCATTTCTTGTGGTCCGTATGGAGCGCACTGTATGAACTTGGTGCAGTCAGTAGGGTGGGGATAATATTGACCGACTTCGCAGTTGATGACGCAACCGTCAACGATACCGCCAGATCCACCTCCTCCACCGCCATTTCCTCCACTTCCACCACATTCTTTTCCATTTTCATCCAAGTAAGACCCTGTCACACACGGTGTAACAGACTCATGGTTGCATGTCAAAATACTTTGATCCCATCGAGTACCAGCGCCGCAGGGCATTTCTTGTGGTCCGTAAGGTGCGCACTGTATGAACTTGGTGCAGTCAGTAGGGTGTGGGTAGTATTGACCAAGCTGACAGTTCACTACACATCCATCAATCACTCCGCTCCCACCGCTTCCTCCACTCGATCCTCCGCATGTGTTCCCGTTCCCATCAACGTAGGAACCAGTAACGCACTCTGTCACTGATTCGTGGTTGCATGTCAGAATACTTTGATTCCATCGAGTACCGGCACCGCATGGCATTTCTTGTGGACCGTAAGGGGCGCACTGTATGAACTTGGTGCAGTCAGTAGGGTGTGGATAATATTGACCGACTTCACAATTGATGACGCAACCGTCAACGATACCACCAGATCCACCTCCTCCACTGCCATTTCCTCCACTTCCACCACATTCTTTTCCATTTTCATCCAAGTAAGACCCTGTCACACACGGTGTAACAGACTCATGGTTGCACGTCAGAATACTTTGATCCCATCGAGTACCGGCACCACAGGGCATTTCTTGCGGTCCGTAAGGAGCGCACTGTATGAACTTGGTGCAGTCAGTAGGGTGAGGATAATATTGACCGACTTCACAGTTGATGACGCAACCGTCAACGATACCGCCAGATCCACCTCCTCCGCTGCCATTTCCTCCACTTCCACCACATTCTTTTCCATTTTCATCCAAGTAAGACCCAGTTACGCATTGTGTAACAGACTCATGGTTGCACGTCAGAATACTTTGATCCCATCGAGTACCGGCACCGCAGGGCATTTCTTGTGGTCCGTAAGGTGTGCACTGTATGAACTTGGTGCAGTCAGTAGGGTGTGGGTAGTATTGACCAAGCTCACAGTTCACTACACATCCATCAATCACTCCGCTCCCACCGCTTCCTCCACTTGATCCTCCGCATGTTTTCCCGTTCTCATCCACGTAGGAACCAGTAACGCAATCTGTTGCTGATTCATAGTTGCATGTTAAGATGCTTTGATCCCAGCGGGTGTCTAGAGGGCAAGGCATTTCTTGCGGTCCGTATGGAGTGCATTGTATGTATTTTGTGCAGTCCGACGGGTGTGGATAGAACTGTCCTAGCTCGCAATTGATGACGCACCCGTCGATGATTCCACTTCCTCCTCCAGAAGCTCCCCCACTTCCACCTCCGCTCCCGCCGTTGCCAGCTCCGCTACCACCACTTCCACCGCCGCTTCCTCCGTTGCCTGATCCACTACCTCCACTTCCACCTCCGCTCCCGCCGTTGCCAGATCCACTACCACCACTTCCACCGCCACTTCCTCCGTTGCCTGATCCACTACCTCCACTTCCACCTCCGCTCCCGCCGTTGCCAGATCCGCTACCACCACTTCCACCGCCGCTTCCTCCGTTGCCTGATCCACTTCCTCCATTCTCACCACTTCCTCCTCCATGTTCTCCACTACCACCTCCATGTTCTCCACTTCCACTTCCTCCGCCGTGTTCTCCACTGCCACTTCCTCCTCCATGTTCTCCACTCTCACTTCCTCCACCATGTTCCCAGCTGCCTCCGCCATGTTCTCCACTTCCACCACCGTGTTCTCCGCTTCCACTTCCACCACCGTGCCCTCCGCCATGTTCTCCACTTCCACCACCATTTTCTCCGCTGTGTCCACCGTGTTCTCCGCTTCCACTTCCACCACCGTGCCCTCCGCCGTGTTCTCCACTTCCACTTCCCCCGCCGTGTTCTCCACTTCCACTTCCTCCACCATGTTCTCCACTTCCACTTCCCCCACCGCCGTGGCCGCCACCAGAGCCGCCGCATCTTGAGCAGGAGGCGGGGCAGTTGCGGCGCACGTATCGGGGCCAAGCGCAGCCGCCGTGTCTGTGGCGCTGGCACTCGCAGTCGCCGTTCGCGGCCCAGAACCTGCAGTCGTTCTGCAGCCCGCCAACAGTTAATTACCGAGATGTCATTAATTAGAATTTCTGGGGTTAAGGAGGTCATTAGATAAGCACATTAGGGCAGGTTAGAACGTGCCAAGTGTCATATTAAATACCGTTTACGTTTATTAGTTAAGAAGAGTACTTTTGTAACTAATGGATATAAATGCTCGAAAACGAACCCCTAAAGTTAGACACTTTTTTCCGGAAAAATATGCTTTAAAGTATTGTTTACTGGAAGCTGAAGCACTGAAATCGAAAAACACCTTTAAATCCCTGCACGTTTCGGGAGCAGAAGTTGGCTGGACTGTCGCAGGACACTCGACGTTGTCCGGCAGGTCGCACATCTCAGTCTCGGAGTTGAAGAGAAGACCTTCTGAACAGTAGAGCTTCTGCACTACGCTGCCCACTTCTTTGCCTGATGTTACAAAAAACTTAAGAAGCAAATTTGCAATGACATGCCAATCAACACTTCTAAACATTTTCTCTCATAAAGTCTGTCAATTCTGCTTAAACATTTTTTGAAGTTTAGTTTCGCCATGTGTCTAATATTTCTCGCAGTAAGTAGTAAGGGCGATAAGTCTTGAAATATATCCGTATGAGGGATTACTAAAATCAGGTAACGCGTTTCGTTAATCACTAAGTATCATTAGGATGTTAACATGAAGGCAATTGAGGAAACGAGATACATTTAGCGTATGTGTATGATAGAGACTGGATTAACCAACTCGTATTTCTCAGGGACGAGTACATGCAGTCCAGTGGACGGTTGCCTTTGTCTTAGCTGTGAAGTTTGAAGAGGCGCAGAGGTCCACTTAATTGGTTGTTAAGATGTGAATTGTTGCGTAGATTAGAATTGCATCAATTATTTGCAGTCTGTTGAAGTCCGGTTCGTGATGAGAATTTTGTTATTCTGCCCCAGTTCCTTATGGTTTAATCACTTTAATGTGATATTGTGGCTTTCCATTGCATGCGCTATTGGTCCTCCTGGTGCTAAATGCATTGCGAGCCGTCGTGGTAGGGTTGTGGTTTTCACGAAATTTACGAATGGTTACGGGCCTTGCATTATACTTTGTTACGCATGTCTCGTTTACTCAGTTTCATTTCAACATCCTGAAGATGCTCAGTGATGAGCAAAACGCGCCGCCTGATTTTACCAACCTATACTTTCAAGGCTCGTCGACACTGTACCTGCCCTAACACGTAGGCAGCTTAGGACACTGCTAAATTCATATCGTAAGAGGCATACGTACACATGTAGAAAGCATCACACTCGTCGGTGACAGGGTATCGACACTTGCAGCTGCACGTTGGCAGGTTAGGACACTCGTAGTTGACGCTCAAATCGCAATCTTCGACCAGTGGGTTGTACACGAGCCCCTCAGAACAGGTCTTTTTGTAGGCGTTCCCTGACTGAGAAGATGTTTAAATTTGGAATAAATCATGTATAGTAAATTTAGAGCCGTACTGATGAGACCAAATAGAGACTTCTTGTATACATTAATTCAGCTGATAATTTTTCGTTTGTGGGAGAATTCCACCATCTCAATACCAACGTACTTATTAAGTATTTCAGTATTATTACCTGCGTTTAAGTTGCAAGCAACTTATTCCTCTCTATGTCTTCTTCAATCTCACGCTAAAATATGAGCTATGAAATACCATTTATAGAAGGTAATTATTGCATGTGTTTACGGGTTACCTCATCACATTCAAAGAATGAAGAGCAGTCCGATGGGTCAGGTTTCCTGCAACATTTTCCACAGTCGCAGGCGACGCCGGGGACTGGCGAGGATCTCAGCTTTGGGGCGGCCTCCAGCAGGCAGCTCTTGCTGCGTTTCTTCATCGCCTCGTCGCACTGACAGACGATTTTGTAGTGATAATATTATTGATTTATTCGAGTTATTTTATTAGTTATCGTCATTGATGAAAAATGGAAACTAGCAAGCAATATGAAATAATGAATGACAAAGTAGATTTGTGGAATAAAAATTTAGAGTCAAAGAAGATTTCCCGTAATCCACAACAGAAATGAGTTAAAGCCTATTAGTGCTATTTTAATTTTAAAAATAGCTAAATAAGTTATCTCACTCAGAAAAGCTAAGATCATTCTCACTTATGCCGCCATTAATCCACAAGGTTTAAGGTGATTTCAGTCACAAGTGATTGTTTTCAACAGGAATGAAGTACTACTGTACTAGCTGAGAGATTTGAAATTTGCAACGAAAAAATATAACAGATTAAATAGCAAGAAGCCTTTCACGACATTGATATTATTTAACAAAAAAAAAATAAATAAATGCATTTCATATCTGAACTTTTCCTAGTCGCAAAGTGTTATCTCGTGAGTGTACAGAAGATACACACATTTTTATTTACAACGTCCGTATAACGACACGGATCGCTTTATATCTCAGCGCTTTGATCAACAGAGATACGATCTGTCAAGATAAGGTCGACGTTTCTGTGAGTGGTTTGAAATAAAAATGAACTGATAGTCGTTTATGCTGATCCTGTTTGTTCCGATTTAACTCTGTTTGTTAATTTTCACAAAGATTGCGGTGCGTATACAATAAAAAGAAAATAATTTTCATTGAGTAATAAGTTTACTGTATTTTTATTATAAATCACGCGCGTGCAGCCAAATTCCCCGTTCTGAGATATTTTTCTATATTTACCTAGACTCGTTTATCGTAGTTTCTATTCTCGTAATCGCTTTCGATAAAAAATTATTGTTATTTAATTAACTTAGCATAAATGTAATATTATTATTAGGAGTTGTTTATTGTTATATATAATATAATATATTACGATGATATTTATTTTAGGAGTTGTTTATTGTTAAAAATTGTAAATTGTTATTTTAGTTCAAAGTTTACGGAGGGCAAGGTGCAGAAGGTGTACGTTAATAAAGTGTTATGCCGTGTGAAGCCCTACCAGAGGTACATGGTATGTTAGGTCATGCCGTGCATCATTGAATTAGGATACGTGAATTTTTGTGAATAAATTGATGGCGAATAGAATTGTGGTCTTTTGAATTTTACATTTATGGATTTGTTTTAATAATTTGATCACTATTGGTTATTTGTGTATTCATATTTGCTTCTTGCATGAAGGCCTCAAATGTCTAAACTCAAATCTCAAATCTTAATTGTATCCAAGAAGCACCCCAAGAGAAAAGCATGCAGTAAAGTGTTAAGATTAATAAGTTTTTATTCATTATTGAAAGTTTATAGCACGTCGATCATTTGTCTATCTGAAAGTGTGATGCAAGTAAGTGTTTAATTATGATTAATTGGTGGATTTAAACCTATACGATAATGCAGGCTAGTTGGTGGTTCTGAGAGCCCTAACACTATACGAAACAACTGTCCCCCCCAACATGGACGAAACTATTGATTCAATACTTTATGTAATACCTAAAATAAGTTCGAAGTTTTCTAAAGTGATTACTTTGCTTAGTGTCAATTAACTATTAAGTAGGCTCTAAGTAGTAGGTAGAACTAGTAGGTTCTAAGTAGTAGGTAGAACTATCCTCACCATTGCCGACTTTGACTTGTCGCACATGCCGGTGCGGGCGTTGTAGTGCAGGTTGGCGGGACAGGCTTCAACATGAGCGACGTTATCAATACACTTGACGTAGCGCACGCAGCTCTGAGGGTGACTGAAGTAGCCGTTGGCTGATGGACATTGCAGCGACTTGCATGAACCTGCACAGCACAAAAACAGGTCATTTGAATTTTTTGTTGCTTCTTTTTAGCTTTCTCTCTCTCTATTTATCTTTCCCTGTATCTCTTCGTCTTTCTCTGTCTTTATCTCTCTGTCCCTCTTTATCTTTCTCTGTCTCTCTTTATCTTTCCCTGTCTCTCTTCATCTTTCTCCGTCTCTCTTTATCTTTCTCTGTCTCTCTTAATCTTTCCCTTTCTCTCCTTATCTTTTTGTCTCTCTTAATCTTTCTGTCTCTTCTTTACCTTCCTCCGTCACTATTTTTCGATACCTTCTCAAGTACAAATCGTAAGTAGTTCAATGAAGGAAGTTTATGTTGAATTTGATGCAATAAAGAATTATTTAAAAATGAAGTAAGATAGAAATAAATAAATGGTTCTGAAAGTGGAAAAAAATATTCATTTGAAAATGTTCCCGGTGTTTTCAACATAATTTTTTGGAATTCATAAATAATTAAGGTTAACTAAATCATCGCATTGTTATTGGGGTATCGCTATCTCGATACTAGAGAATATATTGTTCTGTGAAATATATAAATATTAATTCAAATTTATTAAGACCAATAAAAAGTTTAAATTAAACTTTTATCCGGAAATTACGGTCACTAAATTTATTCTATCATTGGCTGCATTTTGATATCCACGAACATTGTTTAAAAGTTACAAATGCCACTGATAGCGATAGGCAAGTTTAATTTTCGGTTGATATGTATTAGAGTTGGCTTGTTATTTGTCGTAGGCGTTCTGACTTAAAAACTAATAAGCTGACAGTGCTAATCTTCCGTTATCTGAAGAATTGATATGAGCAAAATTGTTTTGAAGACCCGTCTCATTTTATATCGGGCGAAGCTAGCATTTTTTAAGTCAAAAAATATTTATTGAAGCTTGTACGTGCTGTAATGGTATTACGTTGTAAAGACTGCCAATAATAAAGAGTATTTATTGGTCGAAAATTGGTAGAGTAAAAGTTATTACGATTTTTTCATACAGAATTATTCAGATTATTTATTCATAGCAAATTGTTTGATACAAAATTATTATGTTAATATTTTGATGAATGTGAACTCTAAAGTTTATATAACGGTGTTCTGCACCTATAACGACATGGGGCTCGCGACATTTATAGTTTTGAAAAATATAACTCAGTACTCACTGCAGTGAGTGACAGAGAGCGCTTTTTCTCGTCGACGAAAACGTGACGTCACGGACAGACAGACAGACGGACATGACGAGCACAATAGCGCCTTTTTTTCCATAATGGGAAAATGCGCTAAAAAGCAGAGAGCATCAAGAGAAACGAGAGATAGCACGAGAGAGACAAAGGCGGCAACATTATTGCTGTGATTCATACTACCTATTTTTTGCGAAATATTTGCTGGACAATATGCCTTTTGAGAGATAAAATCCTAATGCTTACTGAACCAAGAAACCAAATGAAGGCGCTTGTGGAACCCTATCAAGGCAGCTGAAGGGTTCTTGCATAACTAAGATCAATCCGCACAAATCTTTTGCACTGAATCTCTGTGAATTATTTTCAGTTGAACATTAGACTTCCTGCATAGTAGGCGAGATTGACGGCTATGATTTGCTTAAAAGACGTGTTTATTGATCGAGAATCATGTAGTCACACAAGTGCCTGCATGTAATGGATCGTCGTCTAAAGCTAAAGCCAATGCGAATATTGGAAGAGTCATCTCGATTATAATTTTTATCGGTGGTTGAAAGAAAACACAAGAACATGTCTGTAAGTTACGTTGAGTATTTAATCCAATTGTTTTATTTTATTATCTCCATTTTATTTATTTAGGAGTTCCCAGCTGGTTTAGCAATAGGTTCCAAGATATTCATTTGACTAAATAGAATAATGAATTGACTTGATTACTGTGTTGAAATTTAATAAATGCTTATATATAATATCCTTCCGGCTCAGAAGTATCTAATTGAATAAAACTCTTTATGACCTGCGCCTTGACAGCTGCCGGCGTGTTGCATAGTAAGCAGGCTTCCTGCAACGCAGTGTACATTTCTGACGTTTGTGACGAGTACAAGTTAGTGGCCGCAACCCCACAACACTGCATCTGTACTGTCTGCATGAACTCGAATTTCCGCGCGTCATCGTCGAAAATGATGAAGAAAGAAAATATTTTCACAGTTCGTTTGCAGAAGCAGGAATGAATGTTGTCACTTGCCAGACTAGACGTTCATGCTTTTTGCACACCAGGAATAAAATTCGGCATCTTTAAATTCGGAAGAGAAGCAGTTCGAAATCATAGACTTATTGGCCCATTATTTTATGGATGTTGATAAGTTCGTGACATTAAAATGTTGAGTTTGTCGCCTAACGGGCATGTGGTACATTTTGAGTCATTTGTACACAAATCAAAACAAATTATCTTGGCTCTTGGAAGACACGCTAAGTTAGACTTCTTCTTCATGAGAATGACCATTGCTCTCGATGTAAGCTAGAAATGCTCTTTAAATATGATGATAAATTGAAATGGAAACGCATTATTTTAACCCACTTGTTTTAGAGTATACAGATGAATAGATAAATTTTTGACGATATTTTTTGTTTTGAATTGTAGATAATATAATTAAGGGTGCACTAAAACATCTCGAATAATTAATTATCTAGATTGGACGCAGTAACTCACGCAACTAGTTACTAGTGCTTATATTCTACAATTTTAATTATACGATTCTTTTACTACAGTCAATCACCTTCAGCTTGCAGGACGAAGCAGGCGAGCCCAACGGCCACTGCCGCAGACACTCTGATGGCCAGCACCATCGTCCAACTTGATGAGAGAAGCTCGAAGTTGTGATATATTAATTAGGACCTGATGTGGCGAGACTCAAACTGTGCAAGAAGTGTGCGGGAAGAATGGCCCTAGGAGGCCGAGACCCGGCCTTATAAGTTGCTGGCAAGATGGTAAATTCAAGTTAAACATTTGAATTCTTCTGAACCTTATCTCATCAGCGGAGAACGTACGTTATTTCAACTCAGGTGCGATAGAGAAGCGAGCTTGACGATAAGAGATTTATCATTTATTTGAAAATTCTTAGTTTTAAAATGCCTTATCACTGCTAAGGCTTCCAATCAGCCGCTGGTAACTCAGGAAATACCGTAGGAACATAGTTTCTCATTAAGGTAATCTTCATGAATACTTTTGACAGCTTCGTGATTATAGTTACAGCAATCTATGGCATTTAATTAAGAAATATATAAGCAGAGATAAATGCTTCCGAGTCCTGACAGATTTTAGATTTTGGTACTCTTAGTCTCTGAAAAGGTATATTTATGCTAATATTGGTGTCATTTTGTTGAAAATTAAGGATAATAAATGATAGTTTATAATTACAGGCGAAGTTTATTGGCTGTAATATATAAATCACCAGCAAGGAAACAAAATAGCAGGTGTCAGAGAGCTTATATGGACCTACAAGAAGTACAATATCATTGCAATGACATGACGGCGCCGTACAATGACAGTACAAATGACATTACGGTGCTGGATGATGGTTGTCAAACATTCGAATTCCAGCAAACATGGGTCAAACAAATTGGTCGAAACTGTACAATTTTCGAGTAACTAAAGTGTGACGTGTGTCACTAAAGTCTAATCGATTCAACACGGCGTAGTTAAATCGTTTCAGTTCTTTTATTAGAAGCTTGGTGTTGCGACACCAATTGAACACAACATGGTGATGCTGTCTAAAAGAAAAATTAATAATAACTTTATAATATGACTACTCGCAATTGAAAATTAGTTCGTAGAATTACACTAGTACAGTGAATTGCTCCAACACTAGACATTCATTAACTCTACTCAGACCTGGGATATTCAATATTAAAGGTTGAATGAGTTGGTGAAACATAACTCACCTTGTAAACACTTAATATTTATTGAATTGTTAGATGAGTCCTAATAAATATAACACATTCTCTTAAAACCTTGTATTAACAACGTTTGATCTTCGGTTAACGTGCTAAAGCCAAGAAGACACCGATGAAAGGCACGGAGGTTAACCCTAATTTGGCACTTGTTTGGTCCATCACTGCTTAGGTTATTCATTATAGGCTTTGACGTAATCAAATACTTAAGTAAAGAAGCATTGGTGCCCGGGGAAGACGTTTGTGGTATTTCGAACTTCTCACTTGGATTCAGAAATGCAAGTTAATTAATAATATATAATGATTACGTTGTGTGGTCATACAAAATTCGACACACAGAATATAACCTCACTAGATCCACACAAAGGCAAACAAGGAAAACAAAACAGAAATTCTAACAAGATCCAAGTCGCACAAATCTCACATGCCGACAGCAATAAAATTTTATTCTTATCAAACCGAGATTTAGTAAAGTTTTTATGACATGGCGTACACTTCAGAGATAGTAATGCAAAGTTGACTCAGCTTGACCCCGAGCTGCAACATTATCCGCACTGCACGAGTATTAATATAAATATCGTTTCCAGTGACCATACTTTCAAAACTCGCTTAGTGAACGTAAGTATTTACGCTCTATTCTCTTGTCTGTGATTGGTGCATTTTGCTTGAAAGGTCGTCAATGATTGGCTGATGAACTTACGATCTCTTAACTTTTTCTGAAAATATAGGCCATGATGATATCCAGCGAGGTCCAGATCCAGCTCATCCAGCGAGGTCCAGATCCAGCTCATCCAGCGAGGTCCAGATCCAGTTCATCCAGCGAGGTCCAGATCCAGTTCATCCAGCGAGGTCCAGATCCAGTTCATCCAGCGAGGTCCAGATCCAGTTCATCCAGCGAGGTTTTGTTACCGGCTTTTCGAGGCCAAAATTATTTCAGTGCTGGGCAGGCAGCAGTCATTTTTTCAAGTGCCTACCGTGCGTCATGTTATGTAGAATTTTTGTTCCATAAAGATCAGGACCTTTTGTTAACTTGAGATTTCTCATTGAAAGCGTTAACGATTTTTTACTTTAAAATTAGTTCGATTTGCCCAAAGCAACACAAGATGCGCTCGTACTATTAATCAGATCTATTAACGAGCGGAGACACTATCAGAGCCTGCTGTGAATGCATATGTACAATAAGTCAGATCCATTAACTATAGTAGAGTTCAATTGAAACCTCATTCAACTGAACTATAGTATAGTATAGTTCTATACTATACTATAGTTCTATGTATATTTATAGTATAGAATTATCCTATAACTATAGTATAGTTCAGTTGAAACCTTATGAAGAGAAAAATACATGTAGGGAATAGATTATTTCGCGTGTTTTACAGTTATTACGTTCCGTGCGACGTATAGAGTTATTGCTCAGCGGTGGGTAATGAGATCAGGACTGCGCTCTGAACTCTCAAGTTCCATTGTTCAGTGAATCAATGTAAGCGAACACAGCGAGAATAAAGAAGTAGAATATGGACAAACAAAATTAAAATCGTATGCAATCTGGTCAAAAGGCCAGTCTAGTCAAGAAAAGTACAAGAATCGGCGACAGGCCTATCCAGGCCTATTCTTCAATACCGAAGATACTATAATTAAAATCGATAAGAAATAATTGAAACTTTGATGGCATTCCGTGTTGAAGGCAATAAAACTTAACTAACCTTACATAAAACACGGGCGAGTATTTATTGCTGCAGAAGAAATTTCAACATTTGTTTACCTTAATTTAAGTAACGAAGATAACATTTACGTGACGTGATAAGATAAGCCTATCTTCTTCCTGTGGGTTGATAGATGGACGCGCAACTTAAGCCTGTAATATCAGATTAAAACATGCGCAACACATTAAGGGGACCGGCTACCCTCCGGAAAAACTTCTACAGTTATTATCCGATCATCATGAAACTTCACATACATACGTAAAATGTAAAAAAAATAACATTTTGTTCGTATGAATTTTTCGAAACAATTGATAGAAAACGTGAAATTCATAGAAAACGGCTAAAAAGGGGTACTATAGAAAATCTATCTCCTCCTACAAATATCGTCCTACAACATCCAGACACATATCATTCGATTCGTAAAGACCATATCTATCGACCTGGCCATCGCTTTTTTTCATTTTCCTCATATTTTTTTATGCGCGTTTTTCCCATTTTTTCACTTTTTTCACCCCCTCCCCCCCTTCTCCCCCATGTATAAGACGAACCATGGACAAATTCAAAAAAAGCGATGGCTACGTCGATAGATATAGTCTTTACAAATCGAATGAAATAACTCTCATTGCTGTAGCTTGAAAACTGTAGGAGGAGATAGGTTTTCCTTGACAGTAAGTTCAATAAGTTAAACTTTTCAGGACGGCTGGACAAAGTCCCGCGCGCCTCGAAATAGGCACTCAATGTAGCATGGATATCAAACTACAGGCTTCTCTAGCTTAGTCCACTCAAGGATGCTAGCAGCAACTTGTAGCGCACCTCTCCGTACAAAGTTAGGAGGGTAACTGAGCCCAGATGCCAGATACACCAATATATGTAGTCATGCCGCTCTAATTTTCGTGGGTCTATTTTGTTAAGGAACTCCACCCCCCGCCCCCCGTTAAAAGGCGGCCATATGCGTCAATTTTGGCCTACATAGATCGCAGTAGTATCATTGGAAAGCTCAGAATGTCAGCTTTAAGATGAGACTAAGCATGTAACTGCAGCACAACTCAGGTAGAAACTATATTCAAAGATTTCAGCAGTTAATTACTTTATATCTAATTACTTAAAGAACTCTCCCACCCGCCTCCGTTTAAAGAGCCGTCATGAACGTAAATATTCACGTAGAGATATGGCAGTGGTACCATTGGAAAGAGCAGAATTCCAGCTTTAAGATGAACAGAAAAACCGGAAAACGCCAAAATTGGAAATTTTAGGGTAGCCGGTCCCCTTAAACCATTCTGTTCAATAAGAATTAAAATTAAATTCTAACAATGAATATTTTGATTATCTTAAATGGTTTAAAAATTCCTCAAATAGTCTAAAAGTGAAAAAAATCTTCCACGTTGCCTCTCGATTCTGAACCGAAGAAGCGGCAGCAAAAAAATGACAAAACAACTCGGAAGAATTATGAATTGTACAAGCTTAACCAACAGAATAATATAAACTAAGAACTACTTCATTAATGAAGCGAAAAAAAACACGAAGGTCAACGTCAACGCCTTATCAGTGATCAGCAGGGCAGTGCTGATAAAGATATGGTTTTATAATTAAAAAAGATTTAAGATTTAAATACATATTTTGTGCAGCTCTGATTATATTCACTCTAACATTTCAAGTCTGAATGAAGAAGGCTGTGTCTTCAATTCATATTCATTGGTTGTATGAGAAAGATTTTTATGAAGAACTAATTAAGACTGTGAAGAATGTGCTACGGAGGAAGCATATTCTGTCACATTCAGGATATTGATATGGTCAGAAGTTCAACAATGCGTAATGTACTTGATATTTTGCCTTAACACTTCTCATCCCGTCAACGACTCTGAAAGAATAAAATGATGTGTATGTGTGACTTAGACGAAAGGAAATCGGGACGGCGCAGTTACTCTGGGGGCAGAGCTGGGTGACAACTCTAGCGCTGTATTGCAGCTTACAACTTTGCACATCATGCCTCGTTTCTGTGAATAAAAATAATAATAATGAAGTGATATTACATACAATGGACATAAAAACCATTACAGAAATAACGAAATATTCAAAAATACTTGAACGTTTAGGTACAATTTAATGACGGCGATAGAAGAGTTAGACATGAATTAATAAATAAAATTTTGAGTGGGGAAGAGAAGAGGGACTCACCCGACAGACGCATTTGGTGCAGGGGTCTTGATACCAAGTCTCCTTGAGGTGGCGCGTCGCCCCCGCGCCGTCCACACAAGTCCGCGCGTGCGGCGGGCGGTTGTTCTCACTCAGCGCTTGCTCCAGGCGCTCAATCTTACACATGAGTACAAGTATGAGTACAAACGCACTCAGCGCTTGCTCCAGGCGCTCAATCTTACACCTGTCTCTTATACACATCTAGATGTGTATAAGAGACAGCTTAGACTCTCACGCAGCGCATGAGATTGCTTAGGACTCCCATGTCGCACTTAGCACTCTCATGCTTAGGACTCTTGCTTAGACTCTCACGCAGCGCAGGAGATTGCTTAGGACTCTCATGTCGCACTTAGCACTCTCATGCTTAGGACTCTTGCTTTGACTCTCACGCAGCGCAGGAGATTGCTTAGGACTCTCATGTCGCACTTAGCACTCTCATGCTTAGGACTCTTGCTTTGACTCTCACGCAGCGCATGAGATTGCTTAGGACTCTCATGTCGCACTTAGCACTCTCATGCTTAGGACTCTTGCTTAGACTCTCATGTCGCACTTGGCACTCTCATGCTTAGGACTCTTGCTTTGACTCTCACGCAGCGCATGAGATTGCTTAGGACTCTCATGTCGCACTTAGCACTCTCATGCTTAGGACTCTTGCTTTGACTCTCACGCAGCGCATGAGATTGCTTAGGACTCTCATGTCGCACTTAGCACTCTCATGCTTAGGACTCTTGCTTAGACTCTCATGTCGCACTTGGCACTCTCATGCTTAGGACTCTTGGTTAGGCTCTCAGAGTCCGACGATGGCACCAAGACTCACCTTGAGCACGAGCTGCTGGACAGATCGCGACAGCTTCTCCACGACAGCCTCGACGCCCTCGATCCTCTCCTCGACGGCGTCGGACGGCAGCACCAAACTGAGTGATCAATGCAGGACCAGAATATTGAAACTGTCAGGGCCATGCTGTTATAAATAGTTACGCGTTCGCAATACTAATCATCCAATCACTGACGGTTTTTAAAGCGAAACATACAAATCGCAGATGAGAAATTGGTCGCTTCGTTTATTAAGGCCGCTTCATGTGCTAAGGCCACTAAGGCTACTTCGTGTACTAAGGTTACTCAGAACACTAAGGGTACTGAGTCCGCTACGTACTTGTATTTGAGCGAGTTTGAACCCAACTACCTCGGGTCTTTCCAGGAACGAGTGATACTTCGTATTTTGTCCTGATGTTATTAATTCAGTCGACAACTTTGCCTGCCCAAACATACATACTCCCTTGCTTAGTTCTATAGTGTAAAATCCCCCAACAATAATAAATTAGACAGTGGCAAACATCAAGGAACATTCATGACTATTGATGATTTTTATAGATAAAAATAATTCATACATGAAAAAAACAGAACGAATTTGCATCTATGCCTTTTCATACGTACATGAAAAATTGAATGATTAATTGCTGCCAATTAACAAGGCAAGTTAAACAAAAATCAGGCATATTGATGGAGAAATCATAGAGAACTTTATAGTTTTTCGTTCAACAGCGCGAGTAGCTCAAGTGTCAACATTAACCTTGAGACCAGAAGTCTGTGATGTCACAAGAAAAATAAGCACTAACATCAATGAAAATATTAAGAGGGGTGGGCATTTCTTAGAAGTCCAGAGGGCAAGTGACGTTCAACCCTGAGAGTAAGTAGCGTTCAACCCTGAGGGTAAGTAGCGTTCAACCCTGAGGGTAAGTAGCGTTCAACCCTGAACACACGAATCCTTTAACCCAGACGGCAAGTAGCGTTCAACCCTGAGGGTAAGTAGCGTTCAACCCTGAGGGTAAGTACCGTTCAACCCTGAGGGTAAGTAGCGTTCAACCCTGAGCATAAGTAGCGTTCAACCCTGAGGGGTAAGTACCGTTCAACCCTGAGCATAAGTAGCGTTCAACCTAGAGTGCAAGTAACGTTTACTTGGCCAGGTTGAGGGGGCGGTTGAAGGCTGTCAGCGGCGGGTCGTGGGGCGTGAAGGTGATCGCTGCGTCGTGGTGGTCGTGACGGTCTGCAGGAGGACAGATAAGAAAAATTAATGGATAATATTGTCCAAATAGTGACTCACTTACTGCTAGTATCAGTGATACGCTTACTTATCGGGTCAAAATGGGTCAGGATGACCCACATACAAACACAAAGTGCTTGTTATTTGGACAAAGTCGCGCTGTTTTTTCTGAGTTCGGCCGCACAGGGATGCTTGAAATTTACTTACTTGCAGTCCCGCGAGTGGCGCAAACATGGGAGCTCATTGTTAATTAGAAATTAAATTGAATTCCCTGAATATGATATTATTCTGCGCATTTTTGGCCGGCATTTGGGGACAGCGAAATTATGCAATTAGGGCTCGCCTTCGAACAACGTCATATGAGCGATTATTAAAAAAGATACAATAAATTAGTTCAGTTAATAAAGATAAAAAGTTTGAAAATTTCGGCTCAGGTCTTGTCGCACACTTTCTGGAGCAATACCGTTAAATTTAAGAATAGAACACATTAAATTTGTAAGCACTCAATACAAAATGATTGACAGGTCCATGCATTATATACTTTAATTATGAAATTAAGAATAACCTGAATATTTTTTTAGGCGATGTCATACATTAAAATTATAAAATAAAAAAAATTATTAAGATAGCTGTATTTAAGTATAATATAGTTATATATAGTATATATAGCTCACTCTTATTAAAGCTCGAATGCTTTCCAAGATCCAATTTTGATTTTTTATCCTGCAATGTTTGGAAGCCGAACTGCTGGTAGAGCTCGACCTTCTCGTTGTTTTCCTTGCCTGTGGACAAGAGCTGATCCAGCCCTTTGGTCCCATACTCCAGATTTTGGTTCCGTTTCAAATCTCTAAATAATTCATGATGAACATCGATTGATCTGTCGATAGTTGCTGAATTAGAAGCATTTGAGATCGGAGACTCAAACGTGCTAAAATTGTCCTCAGGAAAAGTGGTCTCATATGGAGATCTGTGCAGAGATCTACGTAGATCTTCACGCTCCTCGACGTAGCTCTGGTCGTCGAGCGACCGTCGCAGCCGGAGTCCCGGAGTGCGGATAAGGCTGTTGAAGTAACCCGCATTCCGGCAATCTGAGAAGTACGGATAAAAGTACCAGGAAATGAACGAAATAAGTATAATTATTGTGCAAAATACGTCTTCTATGATGAAACATGTTTAGTAATAGAAGAATGATGTCCCGTCAGCAACTATAGACATTGTTATTTATTGTTCATGCATTAGCTGCATGCTTACGGGAAACAAGAAAACCTTTTCCGCAAATCTTTTGAAATTCAATTTTTCAGTTATTCCACAAATTGGTTATTTATTGTAATGCGCTTGCTCGGAAACATTCAAATGCATTCTATACAAGAAATCAAACACACGAGTCCACACCTGTGTAACGGTCGGTCAAATGTTCTATACAAGCGAGCAGGCACACAAGTCCATAAACACAAACCTGTATTATACTTTACCTTTACAACACTCGGCCCAGAACCTAAGATCAATACGAGGGAGCTGTGTGCAGGACACAAACGCTGGAGTTTGCAGGTGCGGCAGGAGGAACACGTCGCTGGTGACGTCCTTAATGTCGTCGCCATTGTCGCACAGCACGCGGCCCAGCGTCGTGCGTCTGATCTGGTCTAACTGCTCAGGCTTGAACACCGATGGATGTTCGTACCAAAACCTGTTGAAAACATCGTACAAATACTGAATATGACACAAGAAATATAGGTAATATAGTTATGGGGCACGGTGGTCAAAACTTCTTCCAAGGACAAAATATGACAGAATCGATATAATTTCAATTTGAGTTACTAATACAAAAACCTGAACCACTGGCTAAATATGAATAGAGCGATAAAATTAAGTTATAACAATGAGTGTGCGAACTTTGATTCAAAGATGTTCCGGTATAATTACTTGTAAGCTGTAACACCTTGTGAGCAACTACGAAAATACTCTCAACAAATTAATTAATCAACAAATTAATTATCATCATTTGGGCAAGACGAGCGTGCTTCTTAGCTTCCCAGGGATAAGTGGACCGAGAAACTTACCTTCCTCATCTGTCTTACTTACAGGGTCCTCACTTACTTACGACTTTGCCCTCACCTGTCACCATTCCCTTATTTATTTACGATTTCTTCGTCCTCGCTTACCCACGACAGCGTACTTACCTGTCCCTGTCCCGTCACTTACCTGTCCCCGTCCCGTCACTCACCTGTCTCCGTCCCGTCACTTACCTGTCCCCGTCCCGTCACTTACCTGTCCCCGTCCCGTCACTCACCTGTCGCCGTCCCGTCACTCACCTGTCCCCGTCCCGTCACTCACCTGTCTTGTCGCCGTCCCGTCACTCACCTGTCGCCGTCCCGTCACTTACCTGTCGCCGTCCCGTCACTCACCTGTCGCCGTCCCGTCACTTACCTGTCGCCATCCCGTCACTCAACTGTCGCCGTCCCGTCACTCACCTGCCGCCGTCCGTCACTCACCTGTCTCCGTCCCGTCACTCACCTGCCCCCGTCCCGTCACTCACCTGTCGCCGTCCCGTCACTCACCTGCCCCCGTCCCGTCACTTACCTGTCCCCGTCCCGTCACTCACCTGTCGCCGTCCCGTCACTCACCTGCCCCCGTCCCGTCACTCACCTGTCGCCGTCCCTGAGGCGGCGGAACTGCTCGAGCAGGAGGCAGGCCAGCAGGGGTCCCACGCGCCCCCCAGGCACGGGATCCTCCAGCAGCGCCCCCACCCACACGTCCACGTTGCCTGCCTCGGCACCACCATCATAATATTATTATTCTTAGAGATTAAGATTAAGTAAAATCATCATTTTTAACGCATTTTCTCATTTATGGAAAAAGGCGCTATTGCGCTCGTCATGTCCGTCCGTCCGTGACTTCACGACACGGACGGACGAGAAAATGCGCTCTCTGCCACTCACTGCAGTGAGTACTGATCTAAATTTTACTAATTTACTCGTATATCGTAGAGCTCTCGTCCATCTATGTAGGCTAAGAATATAATTTTAAAAACATTTCTACCACAGGAGACTAAGCCAAGTAAACATGCACACTTGGACGAGGATAGAGATTCTAGTAATTACCAAAATATATAATTATACATGAATAAAGACCAATTATAAATAAAGACCAAATATGAATAAAGATCAATATAAATAAATACCAAATATAAATAAAGACCGAATATAAATAAAGACCAAATTTAAATAAAGACCAAATATGAATAAAGACCAAATATAAATAAAGACCAAATATACATAAAGACCAAATATAGATTCAATTATTTCCATTCATTTGGTTTGAAGGAACATGAGCTGACCAGGATGTCCGTAGAGCTCGTGCAGCTTCTCCCTGACGTCATCGTCGCTGATGACGTCACGCAGGTCCTCGAAGGAAGCAGCCGCGGGCAGCTGGCAGTCCGTGACTCACCAGGCAGTGCCGTGACTCACCAGGCAGTGCCGTGACTCACCAGGCAGTGCCGTGACTCACCAGGCAGTGCGTGGTCACGGCCCCGCTGTATGTTCATGGCCGCGAGGTCGAGCGCGATCTCGTGCGCCGCCTGGAACAGCTTCTCCGTCAGCTCTGTGTTCAGGAACTGGCCTGGCCGCTGCCGCCGGCAAACGCGCAAAGGACGAAAAAAAAATTTAGTGTGTAGGCTTTCAAAGCATAAGCCTACAGTGGGACTTTTTTTGGAAGTAGGCTTTTTTCAGTGTAACTTTTGTCAGTGGAACTTTATTTCAGGCAAAGCAACGCAGTGTCATAACGCTTAAGAACGCAAAACTTTTTTAAACACGTTCAATGAGATGGAAATTTGGATAAACATGTCTAAAGTCATTTATCTTTATCTAATAACACTCAAGGCAGTGGAATATTGTGTAGTTACGAAGAGCGCTGCAGAATTGTCTAACAAGCACTGCAGTTTGAGCATTCAACAGCAAACAAACGGAGATGAAAGATAAATTTGATTATTTCTTGGAGCAGAAAATGCTGAAATCTAAAGAAATAACCGGAGCAACAACTGCAGAATTTAAAACAAATAACTGGAACAACAAATGCAGAAGTTGAAACAAATAACTGCAGCAACAACTGCAGAAGTTGAAACAAATAACAGGAGCAACAACTGCAGAAGTAGAAACAAACAACTGCAACAACTGCAGAGGTAGAATAAGTTGAGGGAGAAGCAAATAATTGATCACCTTGAGCTTGACTGGCGTGGCTAGGAGCCCTCTGAGTAGAGGGTCAACGCCCCCCTCCTGCACCAGGCGCCAGGGGCTGAAGAACGCCTTGTGCAGGGGCAGGGCGCCGTGGCGTGTGGGCTGGAACGACGCGTTCAGGCGTTCCAGTACGGGGTTCACGAGCGTGTGCCCGAACCTGCACACCGAGAGTCGCAAAATTTTGATTCATTCAAAATATTTAGTACAAGTTCAGAAGTTGTTTTACAACAATTTTTCAAGTATGATGATGATTTGATTCATACAAAATAGTACAAGTTGTTGTTTTACAACTATTATTAAATTATAATGATAAAGCAGTCGAAAGAGGTAAAAATGTCGTCCAAAGTGGAACGAAAAAGCTGTATAAAATATGAATATTAAAATTCGAATCTCGTTTGGCCAAATATTTATAGATAATAAGAACTTAGAAACAAGCAAATTCGCACAACGAACATCTAATTTTTAACGTCTGGACTATGCGTCTCATCCAAACAACACGTTGGTACACTTTAGTTTGTTGGACATGTTGCGATCATAAAGTGTAGTTGCAGTAAAGTGTTGGACATGTTGCGGTAAACTCTGTGTCGACAATTTTAAAGAATATTAGTATCAATATCAAAATGAATAATCATATGATTATTAGAATGAATAATATAATGAATATTAGAACGAACATCATAGCCAAAGACCACAGTCTACGTCACCTGAGGGCTGCCGTGGCGAAGACGTTGCTGATGCTGGGGTCGAGTTTGGTGTCGTAGCGGCTGTAGCGCCCGAGCTTCTGCATGTGATGAGGGCCTATGATGTGCGGCAGCCAGTGCTGGTATGTGATGTGCTGCATCATCGCTCCTAGGATCTGCATCACCAAGTTTCAAGCATATATACATATATCTGCATCACCAAGTAATAATCATATATGATGCATCCTACCACGCATCATACGTTGAAATCTTGGTGGGAATCAAACACGTATGATACATGCATCAGGAATCAAACGTTGAAATATCGTTGAATGAACGTTGTTTCAACGAAATAAACTTTTATTCAACGTTGTTTCAAATTCATCTAACTAGAGGGTAGGCAATAGCTTTGGGAATAAACAACTTTCAATAAATCCAGCCACAGAAATTACAATGAATTATAAACACGGTTAACTGCAACTTGCAGAACTGGTTCTCAATTATACTAAAGGCAAAAGCAAGCAATCAATGTGTGAATATCCCTTACGGCATAACTGAAAAAACTTATACTAATAAGTTTTGGTATTAATGAATAGATATTTAAATTTGTACTCAATCAACAATTAGACAGAACCATTGAAATTTTCATTCTTCAGAAAACAAAGCCAATAATATGAATTACACTTTACTGAACAAAAACCAGACAACAGATGGTTTGCCAACTGATTTATTTAAATTTGTACTCAATCAACAGTCAGACAGAACCGTTGAAATAATCATTCTTCATCCAACAAAGCGAATGAATTACATATGAATATATGAATATGAATTACACTTTAGTGAACAACAGCATAGACCAGACAAGAGATGGTCTGCCAACCTTCCTGGTCTCGTGGAAGACCGTGTCGCCGTCCCAATGCGGGTTGATCTCCCGCAGCTCAGCAGCCATGCGGTTGTGCTCTCTGAACCAAACTGTGTGCATGGCCAGCAGCGCTGTCTGCGGGGACACGTGTAGCCTTACTATCATCATAGTTCAGGTGTGTAATACCATTAATATCATCATAGTTCAGGCGTGTAATACCATTAATATCATCATAGTTCAGGCGTGTAATACCATTACTATCATCATAGTTCAGGCGTGTAATAACATTACTACTATCAGCATAGTTCAGGCGTGTAATAACATTACTATGATCATAGTTCAGGCGTGTAATACCATTACTATCATCATAGTTCAGGCGTGTAATAACATTACTACCATCATAGTTCAGGCGTGTAATAACATTACTATCATCATAGTTCAGGCGTGTAATAACATTACTATCATCATAGTTCAGGCGTGTAATACCATTACTATGATCATAGTTCAGGCGTGTAATACCATTATACTATCATCATAGTTCGGCGCGTAATACCATTACTATCATCATAGTTCAGGCGTGTAATATCATTACTATCATCGTGAAACAGGTGTGTAATACCATTACTATGATCATAGTTCAGGCGTGGAATCTATTTACTATGATAAATAACAGTTCAAGAACAATGCAAAATTACTATGTTAGCTCATAGAACAGACGTGAAACACCATTATGGTACTATAGCTGATAATAGTACAGGCGTTATGTTACGTAAAAAACATAATTTGTGATTGCGACCAGGAAATCGACTCCGTTTAATAATAAATTCCACTGAAAATAACTGGTACGAGGCAGACTCAAACAAAACTACGAAGTGAGAATATTTTGAAAACTTGTGAGTGGTCCAATATGTAAATATAAAAATAGTGAATGCCCAATACGTTAGACTCAAATAAAAATAATAAATGTCCAATGCGTTAGACTCAAACAAAAATAACGAATGTCCAATACGTTAGACTCAAATAAAAATAATGAATGTCCAATACGTTAGACTCAAATAAAAATAATGAATGTCCAACACGTTAGACTCAAACAAAAATAATGAATGTCCAATACGTTAGACTCAAACAAAAATAACGAATGTCCAATACGTTAGACTCAAACAAAAATAATGAATGTCCAATACATTAGACTCATATATAACAACAATGAATGTCCAATAAGTTAGACTCAAACAAAAATACCGAAATAGCCAGACCTGTTCGTTGGCCCTCACGTCGCCCGCCAGGAAGCAGTCTATGGCGCTCTCGGTCGTGTCCCTGCGGCAGTCTATGGGCGCCCCTGCACTGAAGGGCATCAGGGGCTTGCCTGAAGGCATCGAGATGCCTATGCGCAAGTCGCCCAAGTTTTCAGAGAAGTTCCGTAGATTTTGGGTGTCGCCATAGCTTGAGCCGTACACCTGATATGGATAAGTGGTTGCCAGGTGATATATTTGCATGGAAAAAATCTTGGAAATTTCGAAATTTAATTTTCGGTAGCTGAAGAATGTTTAGCATTAAACTGATAATTATTGTCTGTAGGACTGAACTAATAATGATTGTCGTGTATACGGCTACAGCTAAAAATAATAAGAAATGATCCACAGGTAAAACAACAATTTATAAAATCTTATACTCTTGGCATACAAAACGAAACTCTGAGAAAAAAAACGTACACTTATGACTACATATGTGAAGTTTTAGTGTTTTTACAGATCTTCTATTCTTCTATTCCCCATTGATTTCATTTCCTGCATGCTCAAAACCTGTGAATAAGAACAGTGTAACGCCTGAACTATAATTACATCTTTAAATTAAAACAATATTGGGTTAAAGTAGTTTGCGTATATGGAGACACAAATGCTATTACAGTTGCGTGTACCTGGGAAGCGTCAATGAAGGAGGTGAGTTGGTTGATCTGCTCACGAGGCTGGACGGTGTTGAAGAAGACGGACGTCATGCCGGACCCGCAGACTGCGGACGACCGCGTGAACTCCATGCAGCGGTGGCGGTATACGCGCGGGTCGTCGTACGGGATCTCGATGGGGAAGCAGGGAGCGGAGTATGCGCACGAGCTGCGCACACAAAACAAACAAAATACAGCGGAGGGAAGCAGGGAGCGGAGTATGCGCACGAGCTGCGCACACAAAACAAACAAAATACAGCGGAGGGAAGCAGGGAGCGGAGTATGCGCACGAGCTGCGCACACAAAACAAACAAGAGACAGCGCAGGGAAGCAGGGAGCGGAGTATGCGCACGAGGCACACAAAACAAACAAGATACAGCGCAGGGAAGCAGGGAGCGGAGTATGCGCACGAGCTGCGCGCACAAAACAAACAAGATACAGCGCAAGGAAGTGAAACTTAATAATATTGCAAAGTTTAACGCAATATTGTTAAGTCTTACTTTTTTCTCGCTATCTTTTGAACAAAAATGCTACTATATACTAATGTAAAACTTATAAGCTTGTAATGTTGGAAGATATTAATAAACCATTATGCCAGATGAGATGAAAAATTACAAAAATTAAAAAAAATCTGAATAAACAATTTTCACAAGGCAGACAACACATAATCTAATAAATATTGGCAAAACAATAGCTTTACTAAATACTTAACTTTGATATCTTATACTTTAATAAGAACAATCACTCGGCACCAATAATAATCTGCTCTTCTCTTCAGTGCCTTACCACTTCATAAAAATTATTTATGGGGGTATAAACCATTGCTGAATACCATACTCACAAAAACAAATGGGTCATATCGTCTAAACCATGACACACATTCCGCACTGATACACCATTTCACCGAGTCAAACTGAGTCAGGATGTCGCACAAAAGATCTTCAATTGCATCGCTTTTTGAACAAAGTCTAACTCATTTCTCTCAGTATGAAGTGCAGCAACACTGCACAACTTACCGGTCACACTCGACGCCATCAACGAAGCTGCCGGTGGATATGGATGGCAGCGCATGGTCCAAGTCATGGTCGAGGAACTGCCCCCACTGTCAACTTACCGGTCACACTCGACGCCGTCTATGAAGCTGCCGGTGGATATGGATGGCAGCGCATGGTCCAAGTCATGGTCGAGGAACTGTCCCCACTGTCAACTTACCGGTCACACTCGACGCCATCAATGAAGCTGCCGGTGGATATGGATGGCAGCGCATGGTCCAAGTCATGGTTGAGGAACTGCCCCCACTGTCAACTTACCGGTCACACTCGACGCCGTCTATGAAGCTGCCGGTGGATATGGATGGCAGTGCATGGTCCAAGTCATGGTCGAGGAACTGTCCCCACTGCATGAGCATGTGCGTGCACTGGTCGTCTGCAGCCGCCGCCTCGTTGCTCATGATACGCGTGGACACGAGGCGGGGACCAGGCTTGAAGTATCCGTAGTAAACCTTCGTCTTGGACCAGCCTGAGATAATCAAAATATAACTCAGTACTCACTGCAGTGAGTGACAGAGAGCGCATTTTTTCGACGACGAAAACGTGACGTCACAGACAGACAGACAGTCGGACGGACGGACATGGCGAGCACAATAGCGCCTTTTTCTTTCCATGTATGAGAAAATGCGCTAGAACTGAATGTTTTAACCTGGGACTAGTAAATAGAGAGTAACTTCATCAGTCGTGACCCAAGCTGGCCATACAAATTAAGCAACTATACTTCAACTTCAGGAAATTCCGGTCTTCGCGTAGTCTAACATGTAAGACTTAATAATCCTTTTTAAAAGATGTATTTAACATTTAAAAATATGACAAAAACTCAACGAAAATAGTTATATAAATCATTTATAAAGAGAATTTGTAATATTTTGCAAACTGCTGTGAAAAATACGCAAGGTAATTAAGAGTCATACCAACAGGGCTGTTGAAGCCGTTCTCGTATATGGGGGGCAAGATCCTCCTGAAGCCGGTGAGAGATGATCCCCAGGTCGGGTTGTCCAGGTTATTGCAGGTGCCGTCGATGGTGCGGTACTTGAGGTGGAAGCACATGTCGTTGCATGACACCGTCCGACGGTGACCCAAGCAACCTGATAAATTTGTCAGCAGCTCCAAGTTTTCCGGGGAGAGAAGGTCCTGGTAACTAAACTCTGCAAAGACAAACAAAAACGTTGGTTCGGGGAGGAAGATTCCAACATGGATAAGAAATATTGCCGTTTAAGTATGTCAGGAAAAATGAGATAAACTTGTTGGTTCAACATGACCCAGGAAAAACCTCTTCGAACAAGACCTTAAAACTGAAGAGTATTGCCTTCAGAGACTAATTTCTTTAATATGACCTAAGTAAACCTTAAACTGAAGACCTTAAAAGTGAAGACTAAGATAAACTTGTTGGTTCAACATGACATAGGAAAATTCTCTTCGGACAAGACCTTATAACTGAAGAGTGTTGCCTTCAGAGACTAGTTTCTTTAATATGACCTAAGGAAACCTTAAACTGAAGACCTTAAAAGTGAAGAGTATTGCCTTCAGAGACTAGTTTCTTTAATATGACCTAAGGAAACCTTAAACTGAAGACCTTATAAGTGAAGAGTATTGCCTTCAGAGACCACGTACTGGTGAGGTTGAACTGCATGCCAGCCTCGACATGTCTGTGGACGATGGCGAGCGTCTGCTCGACCTTCTCAGCGGCGCGTGCGATCTCGCGAGCCTCGGTCTGCGGGAACCTGAAGAGCCTCAGCAGCTCGTGGGGCAGCGGCTGCCGGGGCCGGTCCCTGTCGAACAGCTGGCTGCCGGGGGGAGGGGTGGGCTGACGTTAGAAAGGTAGACGGGACATGAGGGGGCAAGAAGGGGGAATGAGCGAAGGGGAAAGGGGCAAAGAGAGGGAATAGGCATAGGGGAAAAGGGTAAAAAGGATGAATAGGCAAATAAAAATGGCAAAGAGGGTAAATGTGCAAAGGATAAATGAGCAAAGCGAGTAAATGGGCAAATAAGGTGAATAGACAAAGGGGAAAGGGGCAAAGAGGGTAAAGAGAGCAAACTCCCCAAAGGAAAATTGGTTGAAAGCCCTGATCATTGTAGTCGTAGGAAGCATTTAGCTGTAGTAAGAATTGAAAAAAGGAAGTTCTGAACTTACTTTACGTATTATATTTCTTGAAACACATGAACAAATACGACATAGAAAAACCGGCTGAACACATCCATGTTCTGATCGTGTTTTAACGGATTTGAATAAGATCGGGAAGAGAAGGAAACTCTAATATTTTCATCAAAGTTTGCGTTGACCAAAAGCTTGCTATAATCACGATGATACAAAAAATAAAGTTTTATCACTAGATGGAACATTTAGTTAAGACCAGCAGCAAGCCTCACTGTAGCGTCATGTTGAGCGCCCTGTTGACCTTAGCGTTCGCCTCTAAGAAGCTCTCTCGGAAGAACTCATCCCCGACTCCCCCCAGGTCGGGGCTTTCTGAGGGTAAATGTTATATTATCATATGGGATTAGTAAGTAATATATGGTATTTTTAAGAGAATGCACGTTAAAACAATGTATAATGGAATCAAATGAGTGCGAGTACGATTATTAAGTAGAACAAATGAGTCAAGAGAACTAAAACGAGTCAACTGAAGTCTGTTGAATCAACTGAACTTGAGTAAGTCAACTGAAGACTATTGTCAACATGTGAGTTGACAATACTATAGTGAGTGAGTTTACAGAACATGGGTCAAGTCAAGCTATGTAATACAAGTGAAGTGAGTCAAGTGAAGTGAGTCAAGTAGAGTGAGTCAAGTGAAGTGAGTCAGGTGAAGTGAGTCAAGTGAAGTGAGTCAAATGAAGTGAGTCAAGTGAAGTGAGTCAAGAGAAATGAGTCAAGAGGAATGAGTCAAGTCAAGTGAGTCACGGCAAGTGAGTGAGACCAGCGACGGTGAGTGCAGCGCGGGCGGAGGCTCGGCCGAGGGCGTTCTCAGCGCTGCACTCGTAGTCGCCGGCGTCTCCTGCAGACACGTTGTAGACCAGCAGCGACCCGTCCCTCTCCACCCTGACACATTATAATTATATTATAATACATTATATTATATTATATTATCTCATATTATATTATAATAAATTATATACCATTCCAGCTATGCTATTACCTCATGGAGCCATCAGTCACAGCTCACCTGTAGTGCCGAGAGTCGCTCATAAGGTAGCCGTCCTTACGCCACACGACCGTGGGGGGCGGCAGGCCGTCCGCGGCACAGCGCAGCCTCACCTCCGCCGCCCCCGCCACCGCCGTCTGGTCCGCCGGCCGCTCCATGATCACAGGCGGCAGCTGGGGTATCGCAGAAAATGCATCGGTAATATTGTCCAAATAGTGATGCATTTTCTGCAGCACAGCAGTCGTCTGGTCCACCGGCCGCGTCATGAGTAAGTACAGCCTGACTAAAAAAACCATGTCCGCAGATAAAACCACTATAATTAGCCCATCAGTAGCCATACTTTCAAAACTCGCTAAGTGAACGTAAGTACATACGCTCTAATTTCTTGTCTATGATTGATGGATTTTGCTCGAAAGGCCGTCAATGACTGGCTGATGAAATTACGATCTCTTAACTCTTTTTGAAAGTATGTGTCCAGATATCTTCATGAGAGTTAGAGGCAAGACTCACGGACTCCCTGACGAAGAGCATAGCGGATGACTGGGCGGAGGTCTGACCGTTGTCAGCCCTGCACGTGTAGAGGCCCTCGTCAGCCTTCTGCACCTGCAGCACCCGCAGTGCCGCGCCTGCCAAACAAGTTTACACGGTGGGGCATTGAAGCGTTTGCGAACATGTTTAGAAACATACGTGTTCCGCGGCAGAGCGTGGTAATTTCAACATCAGTTGTGACAAGAACTCGTCAAAAGGACAGTTTTAGACCTGTGAAAAAGTCATAAACAAATGGAGAACACTAGGTGACATGAAGAGCTAACGAAAACAAATGGAGAACACTAGGTGACATGAAGAGCTAACGAAAACAAATGGAGAACACTAGGTGACATGAAGAGCTCACGAAAACAAATGGAGAACACCAGATGACAAGAGGAGCTAGCGATAACAAATGAAGAACACCAGGCGACATGAGGAGCTAGCGAGAACAAATGGAGTACAAATGAAGACATAAATAGGTTAAGAAAACAGCTGGCCAATTAAGGTTACATGTTATGAGCTAACAGTTAGCGATGACAGTTATTTATAATTAAGACAAATTGTACGTATATTACTGGACATAAGCAAGACACGCGGGATATGATCAAAGTTAAAATGTTTATGCCGGACTCACCGCCTATGGCGATAGAGATGCCCGCTGACGGGGCGATGACGAGACCGTGCCGCAGCCACTTGACGTCGGGCTCGGGCAGCCCCTGCGCCTCGCACGTAAAGTGGGCCACGTGCCCGAGGGTCACGGTCTGGTCCACGGGGGCCGTCGTCAGACGAACAGGTGCTAGAGACGTCAAGATAACTCAAGTTATTTAATTATATAATTATTATACATAGCTATTCATGAAATATTAATGAGGTATTATGGTACACTGCAAACAAATTATCAACTATCCTAACGAAACAAGCGAAATGTACGACTAATTAATAAAAATTGTTCATCGCGCGCTAAGGATCGTCTACATACAGATAAATGAGCGATCCTTTATCCGAAGCCCATTTTACCCTTTACCGACACAAGAGTGTATTTACGAGCAGAAATATTGTCACTATTTGGATAGGCTGACACATTTATTTCTGTGAGTGCATGCGTATAGATGAGCACGCACCGGTGACGCGCAGTGCCGCGGCGGCGGTGGCCTGGCCGAGAGGATTGCGGGCCTGGCAAGTGTAGACGCCCTGGTGATGTTCCTGTACACTGCTGAACACCAGCGAGTTGTTCACGTGCACCTGCACCACGGGGGAACATACGAGGGGTGAACACGAGGAGCAGCGGGTGAAGATATAACGGGTGAACACGAGGAGTAACGGGTGAAGATATAACGGGTGAACACGAGGAGTAACGGGTGAACACGAGGAGCAACGGATGAACATACAACGGGTGAAGAAGAGAAGCAATGGGTGAGCACGAGGAGCAACGGGTGAACAGCATCATGAATCAGCATTGGTGAGGAGGGTTAGGGTTGAAAGAACCGAAATGTTTCTGAAAAATGCCTCGCTTTGAAATAAAATGGATTTTCCATGCACGTTTTCCAGACAAAAGTGATCAATATGAAAGGTACTGGAGAAGGACGCAACTTCATGGAAGTTCAAATTATTCGTGCTATGAAAGATTTAAAAAAATTGCACTGCGTTATAATTATAGAGATTCCAATAAGTAACAATTCAATTTTTTATTAACAAGCAAATAACATAAATTGATATAAATAATAATTATATCAATTATTATATTAAATTTAAATTATTAAATTATTATTATATTAATTAAATAATTAGAGTTCTACAAGGAGTGTGGCAGTAGCCAGAGAAATGAGAAGGCTGTTGTCCAATTCGCTTATTGCTTTTGAGTGAGTCATTCTGACTCAGTTTGGCCCGGCAAAAAGTTGCTATTTCCGTTCTCTGCTGGTGCTGTGAGCTAGGCAATGTGTCAGAACTTTGACAAGATGTCCCATTCATTATAGTGAGTGCCGTATCATAGCCACCTCCTTTCTCTGCTTCAGCAGTGAGTTATGCAGTGCGTCACAATTTGGACAAAATACTCCATTAATTATAGCACGTGTACTCACTAGAGTAGTCTCACTGAGCTGCAGAAAGCCTCCCTCTTTGCTCCAGACGACGTCAGGCTCAGGATATCCTGTAACATTGCAGGGCAGCTCGACGCGCTGACCCAGCGTCGCGTTCAGGTTCTGAGGCTCCTCGATGATAACGGGCGGACCTGCGGGGTAACAGGTGTAAAACTTAATTAGTTTAATAATTATTATGATAATATCCTGCGGAGTAATAGGTGTTAAACTTCATTAGTTTATTAATTATTATTAGGATATATTAGGATATTATCATAATAATTATTAAAATGATTAAGTTGGAACACCTTTTACCCCGCAGGATATTATCATTCCTGCGGGGTAAAAGGTGTTCCAACTTAATTATTTAATAATCATCATGATAATATCCTGCGGAAGTGAGTGAAACACAGGTGTAACAGGTGTTCTAACTTAATTATTTTAAATATCATTATGATAATAGGCGGACCTGCGGGGTAAAAGAACCTAAATATTAGTTGTTTAATGCAGGATAAGAGGCTTACATGTTAGTTATTTAATATGTCTCAATAACCCGAAAAGATTGCTCTGTCTTTCTATTCCAATGGAATGAAAACTTCTGCAAAGTCTGGTGCAAACTGATCTTTGTTACCGATTGTTGTCTCTGTGCTGCTGGGTCATGGAGTTCTCTATCATTAACTGTTGTCTCTGTACTGCTTGGTCATGTAGATCTCTGTCACTGACTGCTGTCTCTGTAGTGATGGATCACAGAGATCTCTGTCACTAACTGCTGTCTCTGTACTGCTGGATCACAGAGATCTCTGTCACTAACTGTTGTCTCTGCACTGCTGCGTCACAGAGATCTCTGTCACTGACAGTTGTCTCTGTACTGCTGGGTCACAGAGATCTCTGTCACTAACTGTTGTCTCTGTACTGCTGGATCACAGAGATCTCTGTCACTAACTGTTGTATCTGTACTGCTGGGTCATGGAGATCTTAGCAGGCCGAGACACCACCTCCCCAACCTCACAGAGATCTCTGTCACTAACTGTTGTCTCTGTACTGGTGTGTAACAGAGATCTCTGTCACTAACTGTTGTCTCTGTACTGGTGTGTCATGGAGATCTTAGCAGGCCGAGACGCCACCTCGCCCATCTCGTTGATGGCGCGGCACTCGTAGAAGCCTGCGTCGCCGCCCTGCGCGTTCTGTGCGACATGGATTAATTCTCATGGATTCTTATTATCAGGATTAATGCACACTAATGCATTAATGATAAATGCACACTAATGATAATAAAATAAAGTAAAAAATCATGTATTTACAGTTTAGTGCCAAGATCAACACACTCGCACTTGGATGGATATTTGGAAAGCTATGGACAACTGAATGATATGAAGACAATCCAAGGTCCCGATTTCGAATTCAGTGCAACGACCGAGTACTAAATTATCTTAATTATGGCAATAACCATAAAAACCATAGTAATTATCTTAATTTTGGTAATAACCTTAACTATGGTAATAACCTTAAAAAACCATAGTAATTACCGTTAATCATGGTAATAACCTTAATCATGGAAATACCTTAAAAACCATAGTAATTACCTTAATCATGGTAATAACCTAAAAAACCATGGTAGATTACCTTAATCATGGTAATAACCTTAAAAACATAGAAATTACCTTAATCATGAGCGTGCCGTCGTTGAGAACAGAGTAGCGCGGTCTAGCTTCGCCGATAACCTCGTTGCTGACGAACAGAAACACAATAAACATGAAGACATTCTCAGCCCGAAGTACATTCATATTTTGATTTGCTCAGACAGCCAATATAATTACCCGAGGTGAAGAATTCTTCAGTTGAAAGAGATACATTAAGAAAATCAGTCAGAAATTCATAAATTTTTTCGAAACTTTGACGCAGATTTTTCCTAAAATCACGGATAATAATATCCTGCAAGACATGGAGAGCATGACTCACTTGTGCAGCCAGACCACCTCAGGCACTCACTTGTGCAGCCAGACCACCTCAGGCACTCACTTGTGCAGCCAGACCACCTCAGGCACTCACTTGTGCAGCCAGACCACTTCAGGCACTCACTTGTGCAGCCAGACCACTTCAGGCACTCACTTGTGCAGCCAGACCACTTCAGGCACTCACTTGTGCAGCCAGACCACTTCAGGCGCGGGGCATGACTCACTTGTGCAGCCAGACCACTTCAGGCACGGGGTCGCCGTCCACTTTGCACGTGAAGGCTGCTGTGCCCCCGAAGCTGACCTCGATGTCCTGAGGTCCCTCCATGATGTGCGGCATCCCTGCGACCAAACAAACTTACTTCAACTCATCAATTGGTCATGTTCAGTGGTTAACGAACCATAAAGTGATCGTTAGCTAACCATGAATAGCATCAGGTGGACATTAGGACATCAGTTTAGCATAATAGCATCAGGTGGACATTAGGACATCAGTTTAGCATAATAGCATCAGGTGGACATTAGGACATCAGTTTAGCATGATAGCATCAGGTGGACAGTGCAGTGTTCAACAAACCATTAAGTGATCGTTAGCTGACCATGAACCGCTAACCATCACTGAAAATTTAGCATTTTTGAACATTCAGGTTCTTATACCCATTACAGACGTAATCTCAAGTATCAGACCCATGTTACCAGAAACAAACTAATATTGTTCACCAAAATCCATATGTTTGGAAGTCTCATTACTCGTTATTTAAGAAATAAAGCACTTGGTATAACCTATGCAGTGGAAATAAACTTAATCCGGGTCACCAACCCCAATATATGCATCGAAGTCTCATAACTCATGTAATTTATCAGAGAAGCATTTTGGAAGACCTATGCAGTGGCAATAAACTTAATCTGGTTCACCACCCCCTGTATATGCATCAAAGACTGATAACTCATGCAATATATCAGAGAAGCATTTAATAAGACCTATGCAGTGGAAGTCAGTGTCGGTGATGCTGCTGAGGCTCTTGCCGTGCAGGTCGTTGGGCGCCTCGCAGGTGGCCGCCACCAGAGTTCTGTCCTGCTTCTCCTTGACCATCTGAGCGAGCCACAGCAGCTGGCAGTCGCACACCAGCGCGTTGCTGTCCAGCCGACTGTACACCAATCAATTCTATTGGATTTCGGTAGAATTCGAAATAAATGATGCCGATGAAACGACAAAACTTTAATTGAAAGTCGGATAGAAGTGGATGTAATGGAATCTAATAAACGCAAAAGTTGAAATAACGGCAAGAAATTTGCTGATATCAGTATTGGTGCAGAAATAAGGACTCGAGTAAAAAATTGAATTTAATAGGAATGAGTCAGTATTACAAGTTTTTAGAATAATTTATACAATTAATAATATAACAAAAACATGGAAGTCTTGCACGATAATCATTCGTCAAGTGACACTTAATTTAAATTTAACTGACTGAATTCATTCTCACGAATATTCATGCAACAAAACCGCCTCAATAAGCCTGAGGTCAATACACATTTCGGCGTAAAAAAAATTCGCGACGTAGAGCAGATGCGGCCAAGACGCAGCAACGCACAGCAACAGCAGCTCAACCGCAACAATAGCAACAACGATCGTCGCCGAGACTGCCAACTTGATGACGAATATTGCACACAGAGTCGCTAGTTGAGTGACTTTAATGCGGTAGTATTTCAGCACCAAGCCCCTACAGGGACTGGCATAAATCGGCCCACCTGCGCTACTCCTAGATTCAGACCGACAGTTACACTTGGTATAGATGCTACGGCGGAAAGTCTTCGGTTAATGAATGTAAATGACGCTAAGTAGTTGCGTAATGAGATGACTGAAAATGACAGCATTTGGGCAGTTTTATGTAATTTATTCAATGTATATTGTAGAGCAATTTTTTGTTGTTTTGAATGACTAAGCTTGGTATAATTTTTAACGAAAACTTCTAGAAAATGAAATAGTAATTTCTCTTGAGACAAAGACTCCAGTCCGTTAATAACAGCCAGTCATTTAAACGCTCTTTTCTCCTAGTAACCATAGACAGAAAAATTAGAGGAATTAAGTTATTCATATTTTTCCTTCACAATTCAATTATTGATAAACAATTAATCAAGTTATTGCTTGTGAAAGTAGTTATTCGGAAAGACATTAACAATTGGACGAATTTCATAAGTAAAATGAACCAAAAGCCCGCCTCACGGAGTATAAATGTAATGGTTGGAAATAGTCGCCTTGGGGGTCTACGGGACATAATAGTGGACAGGAAGGAAAGTTAAGCTGAACAGCGGTTATGACAAGTCTACCTATAATATTCTACCATAATATTCAAGACAAAGAGGTTTAAATCTAGAAAAAGTTTCCCACATTGCAATGATTTCTGAGAATTCGGAACTCACAGCCTGCGTAAACTCTGTAGGTTCCTGAAGGCCCCAGACGGCACTCTCTGGAGTCTGTTGTTGTGCAAGAATCTGAAAATAAATTAAGATATTATTTAGTGCAGAATTAAGATTATTTTGATACTCAACTGGAGTTTGATGCGTTATGAAATTCTACGAATGAATTCAATTATAAAAGAAATTTAATTCGAGATCCTCGAGTACTTCTACACGATGTTTTATCATACATACGATAGATTGAGAAAATGGCTAAGTAGATGAAGGCACGCACTTAATTTTAAAGTACGTGACCAAATTGAGATGAAGACCAAACAAAATAAGAAATTCATCTATCCTCATCGCTTGGATGGATTTAGCACGCAAAAGTTGAAAGTTCCAATTAACGTCTCAGTAAGATTCACTCTTTACACAAATTCGCTGGAAGTATATTGATAAGAAATCCTCATGGCAGATTTATTATTATGTGCAAGGAGTTCATCAAGCGTGGTTCGCTCACAGTCTCTGTAGGGAAGGTAGCGAAGAGAAGGTCTCTGCATCGAAGGAGGTGATGTCGTTGAAGTGAAGGTACCTGCGGTGATCAAACCATCAAAAATGGGCAATTTTGATACGATGGCTTCTCTGCTTTGCGGAAAGTTATTTCTCCCTTCGCGCTCATTATCCTTTATTAAATTAACAGTTTTTAACTCGTGTACACAATTTACTTCATTTTGAAAAGTAAATTAGAATAGACTTCACAGAGAATTTTAATGTAAAAGAGGAAATGATATAAAATGGTGGGAGGATTTTAATAATTGATTAAACACAATATAAGAAAAAAGAGAGCTTTAATAATGTGCGCCATATAATTAATGTCAGAAGACTTACAATTGTTCCAGCTCCTCGAGGTTGTGGAAAACATCTCTGTCGATGTGCCTGATTCTGTTCTTGTACAAGTATCTGACAAAATGCGAACATTCATCATTATCACTTAAATGTCATTGGATAACATTTCACTTTTTTGATAAATTTATTGATAAACTGCATTCAGGGGAACGAAACTCAGGACGAATGACCATGAGAAATTTATCGTGCAGTGGGAACTTGACAACAACGATGACGTCGCTCTCAAGATTATATAAGACATTAAACGAGAATTTATGTTGTAAATTGATAGCCAACCAAAACATAATTAGCCTCTAAAATTGCCTAAATGATTCAGTTCAACGAATATCTTTAGAGGTTCAATAAAAATTTAGGCTGGAAGAAAACGAATTGTTTTAATTTCTATTAATTCAGTTAAATACTTTACGTTATTATAGGATAAATATAGGATGATTAAGTCGTGTTAAAAATGTAGGAAGTCGCGTTTCCTTATTTCTCGGTGTGCTTTGATGAACTACTTAAATGTTCAATGTTGATAAAAGTAATAATAATTTCCAGGTACATTTTGTCGTGGCACATAACGCGAAGTACTCACAAGTAGCGCAGGCGCTGGAGGCCGTCAAAGGCGCCGCTCTGGAGGCGCGTGATGTGGTTGTTGTTCAGCAACCTGCATGACGATCAATATTTATTGCTATTAGGAAGCACAGAACATTTTCTCACATTATAAGAAAAGAGTTAAATATTCTATTTAACGATGACGATCAATAGAGTACAAGTTAATCAAGAATGAAAATTTAGCAAGATGAGTTACACGGGCAAAGGTCGTTGTTACAATACGTGTACATCATGACACGAGATTCATCGAAATAGTAAAGTTATGCTCGTATCTGAAACTATTTCAAGTATGCGTACTTGAAAATACAAATTGTACGCATACCGATGGCTACCAACTAGCTAAATACACTATAGGCTGGACAATGTAAACTTACTGCACTAGTGTGTGGAGTTGCACGACGGGTGCTTCGAACTTTACTAATGGATCAAAATGGTTGATGCCAAAAATATATTCGGTAAAAATCAAACGTTTAATCATACTTTTTCTTAATGGCCCATTTGACACTGTGCATTTCTATCGTATATTATTTCTATATCATCAAATTAAAATTAGAAGTTACACTTCAGACACAAAGGCACTAAATAATATCTATATAGAGCTCGCGTGTGTAAGCGCGTGGCGGCACATGCCGTTTAGTTGCTCGTTAATTTCACGGCGTGACGGAGGTAAAGAGGCAGAGACACGAGAGCTGCAGTGCCACAGTGCCACCTGCTGCCACAAATCTCGGCTGGCACTCCTGCTCGGCCACAAGTGCAGTAATGTGCACAGCTTCCTGGGGCTCCACTGGTGACATGAAGCGACTCGCGCTTAGTGTTTATCACCGAATGCTTACACTTTATGCGTAGGATTACTTTTTAATTCGTCTCAATGAATAGGAATCTTTTCGTGAAAATTGCTACATCGCGATTCTCTGCCCCTTCATGACTGGACGAAAAATATATGAGTAATTTTTATGAACTCCAAAAAAGATACATATTAACTGAAGAAAATTTATTTCAAGGGTTCGTTTGAAAATGAGTATTAATTTTCTGTTTTTATTTCCGCCTTCCTTGACTGGCACATATATCGCAGAATGTGCAACACATTCAATCTATAGATGATAACGATTTTACGTATGATTCGGAGCGCTTGCTATATCAACGTGATAGTGTTTATATCGTATTTGTGACACAGAAATCCAAAATTAAATTTTTTTGCCTTCTACAAAAATCTTCAAATGCCTTTGGTCCCAGCATACATATGTATGTGTACATATTCGATTCACCCAACACAAATGTTAGCGATCTAAATTGGCTGCACTGATATATTGTTTGCCCACCTCACGATGACGTTCTCAAACACGGCCCTAATTAAGAGTCTTAGCGTCAAAATAAACAGCAAACATCACATTATGATAGAACAAGCTTGTTTATCAAGCCAACACTCGATGTTTATTAGCAAAGAAAACAAGTGAAATAAAACAAGAAAACAAGTTCATGGTCAACAAAATGGCTTGGTCGCCGGCCGCTGTTTGCGTTGCTTACACAGCATCACGTCAGGCTTGCATTATGCAGAGGAAAGCACTTCTTAAAGAAGCAGGATTTATTGCGTCCGGTATGTGACACGCTTTATTTTCTAATTGTCTGTGGATAAATTGGTTTTCCAAAATGAGAAATGTTCAATTGATAACTTTTTTGACAGGCAGAATTTGTCTGATAATGTATGTAGTGGGCTTCATTTGGAATTGGAACAATGCTGATGGCCAAAAATAGGCATAGTCAATTTTTGTAAGATATTCTAACTTGGATTTTCCGATAACAGAAGGAACAAGATTTACAGCGACTGCCTAATATTTTAAGTAAATCTGTGATAAGACAGACACATAAGTAGCGTGGCAGCACCAAAATGACCAAGAAGATACGATAAAAACTTCATTGTATGTTCACTAGTCGAGATGGACCCAAGAAAAGGACTGTATGCAGATTATTCAATTTTTTCTACACTATCTCATCACTGTTAGTTGACTCGACGAGCACTTCGAGATCAGCTAAGTTTCAAGCAACTGACTGCATTGAAGACAGAGTCATATGTTACTAACTGATGATCAGTTTATTTTTAACTATCTTTATTTTCATTTTGGGAAAGTAAGAAAAGGATTTGTTTTTATCAAATATTTTTTCTTTTATTACTATTTTCTATTAACATAATTTCTTCAATTTTACGCCCAAGTTTAGCTTTATTCACTAATAGCAGGCCGAGGGTGCCAGAAATCGAAAAAATTATAGGAGCCGTCTAGTGTTTTGCATCTGATTGATTTATTCGGGATAAATAATAGAACAATTAGGATTTTTATTGTTTTATGAAAAGCCTGCATCGAAAGTAAGACCTGATGGCTCGTGAAGTGGTTGCTCTATCAGAGTCTGACTCGGTGTTTTGCTTCGCCCAGATTAGGTAATGACAAAAGTTCATGCGCACAGTATTTGATGGTGCTTAGTTTATGCGCCGATCAGTTGTCTGCCTTTAGTTTTCTACGCAAATTTTATTCGTTATTAGTTTCAAGCGCAGGTAAATGGACGGTCCTCACACTCAGAAAAATAATTGGGCCGTATTGTGCAAATAGTGCGACACTTTCTTTTCATAGCAAGAGCAGAGAGCGGCCGTAGCCCTGATAAGCCATTTTGTCTTGCCAAACTGGGTCACGATGACCCACAAGAGCACCAGAAAAGCATTGCTATAATCAGACAATGTCTCCTCGTCTCACTGAGTGCAGTTCCAAAAGTAGATTAGTAGGACTTTGGTAGCGCAGACTCCAAGTTTGTCTGATGATCTCCTCAAATGGCGAGTTTCTATCGGTTTATAGACAGGGCCCCAATAATGCGAGTCTCAAGTCAAGTTTGCTATCACAACAACTCAACGGCAGGAGCTTATTACTCCTTTAATTCCTTAAAAAGTATTGATGCGACACCGCAGCTCACAGCAAAGCTTGCGACACACGCAGACATCTACCGGTCGTTGTTACCTTATATGTCTCAAGCCCGTATTTCTTTTATTAGTAGATTAGTATGTAGTATTAGTATGTTAGTATTACTACACATACTACACTACTACATTCTTATGTAGTAGATTAGTATGTTATTAGTAGATTAGTATTAGTATTAGTCTTGAAGCTTGGATTCTTATGCGTTCGCATGTTATGAACGAGTTATGCCGGTTGTTGAGATGCAGTTCATTCATTATACGTGTATAAGTCCTCGTGATTATCTAAAATATCGAATTATTAGAAGGAGTACCGTATCACGAATTCAAGAGAACATATACTTAAATATTTACACAACAATAATACAATGGCGTATAGGTAATAACTCATAAGAATTATAGAAAGCATCTTGTTCAGAAGAAGAACCAGCAGGGATAACTAGGTCAAAAAGTGATTGCTGATGATTTATTGAGTTTGTCGGTAAAGAAGTGTTATAGAGAGAAGTTAATTGATATATTTAATTTGAATTAATTTGAGTAAAAGTTTTATTTAATAATAAAAACACTATATGACCATGCACATTTATGAGAGGATCTCTGTACCTCTTCTGACGAGTGCCAGCAGAAGCAGAGGTACACAAGAGGCGTCTTTGCCACGCTGCATCCGTGTCATGAATTTGTTATTGTTGCTGATGAAGAAATTGAGGGGAGCGAGTCAGGACGTCAAACGATGTTTGACTTAAGAATGAACTCGTCAACAACTGGGAAATCCAACACATCATTCCTAACTGTAGCCGCGCTTGTGTGGCCGACCAACTGGGGAGTTCAACTGATCATTCCTAACTCCAACTGATTATTCCAAATTTTAGGCGCCCTTGTGTAGCCGACCAACTGGGGAGTCCAACTGATCATATTAACCAACTGATCATTCTTAACTGTGGGGGCGCGTATTTGGCCGACCAACTGGGGAGTCCAACTGATCATTCCTAACTCCAACTGATTATGCCTTACTGTAGGCGCGCTTGTGAGAACGACCAACTGGAGAGTCCTAAGGAACATTCTTAACCAACTGATCATTCTTAACTGTGGGGGCGCTTATTTGGCCGACCAACTGGGGAGTCCAACTGATCACTCCTAACTCCAACTGATTATTCCTAACTGTAGGCGCCCTTGTGTGGCCGACCAACTGGGGAGTCCAACTGATCATTCTTAACTATGGGCGCGTCTTCGTGTGTCCGACCAACTGTCAGTTCTAAGACGCAGTTCCCATCGTCCGTCGTGGGTCTGTCGTCAGTTTACATGCAAGGTTGACGGCGCAGTGAATGTATGTATACACGAGAAATGTAGAAATAGAACCGGATTGTCATACCGTTCATTCAGTTGATTTTCACGGAGGTCTTCAATTCATTTCAGCTGCTGTCGTGTTAGGAACAAATGAAGCAAGAAGTGAAAGCTTTTCAGGCTTATTTTGAGCATCTCAAATTACGCTCAAATGCTCACGGTATTACAGCTACATTATATAGCCTTTGGTGAAGTTTTAACGTAAAGTTCAGTTAGGATGGTCTTCAGCACATTGTGCAAGAAAAAAGACAAATGTTGCAGATACCTGAGTTAAATTTTCATTAGATATAACAAGTAAATTAGGTAGAGTTTTACAAATTTATGATATTTTTTAATTGTTGAGCCCGAACCAAGTATTAAAATGAAACATTTCCCAATGCAAAGTGCCAGATTTGTTCAATATATTGAGTATTCAGTAAGCAGTTTCATCGTTTGCTGAGTTCAATTGTATGAAGTTTAAGCAAAAATTATTCACCTGCAAACTCTGAGCGTTGCAAAATCCGCCTGCACCGCTAAATAAATCATGACAGATGGCCGGGCCTCTTACCGCGCTTCGGTACGGCGCAAGATGCGAAGACACTAAATTCTGCCATAACAACGCAATGAGTTGTCTCACCCGACAAGATCTTCAAGATCTTAAGTCCGGGATCTTAAATTCCGACGAGATCGTATATTCGAGATCTTAAATCCAGACGAGATCTTGAATCCGCTCTACCGATGTAAGACATTATTCCGCCTTAAGTCCCAAATTAACTCCCTCCTTAGCTGTATGTAGCGGTGAAAATACAAGTCTCGGCTACAGCCTTGAAGCTCAATACGCTGAGTATCTACGATAGATTCAACGATTTTTCTCTGCAATTATTCTCTACATGAAGCGTCAGGGAACATGTGAGACCAATTTCAAAACTTTTGAATATAAATTTGTTTTTATAATTGAAATGATCCTTAGATAGCAAGATTAAATTAAGTGTTGGGAAATGTTATGAGTATTGAGTATACAATGTTAGTTCTATAGGTCGCCAGGCCAACAAGTGTCCATTAACTTATAATCGTGAAGACCAGCTGCTGTGAAGACCAGCTAAACTCTACAATTTAGACCAGCTGTTAGCATAACTTCAAGTGGAATAATTTGATTTGCATATAAAAAATTCATTTTTTCAGTATTGAGGTTGTTTTGGCGTGGATAAGTGATGCCCAACTAAGGACATTTTTTGAATAGTATTGGTATTGACCCAAGTTATTGACCACGCCTAAGTGACCACGCAAATTGATGCAAGTGAGTTTTCTGGTTGGTGATTGCCATTTGATTTATTCAACTCAGTCACCTTAGGACGCAAGCCGCTACTCACAAAACGTTGAGCTACGCACAAGACATAGAGCTACTCACAATTCACAAGACGTAGATACTCACAAAACGTGGAGATACTAACATGACGTTGAGCTACTCACAAGACGTAGAGTTACTCACAAGATGTAGAGTTACTCACAAGACGTAGAGTTACTCACAAGACGTAGAGCTACTCACAAGACGTAGAGTTACTCACAAGACGTAGAGTTACTCACAAGACGTAGAGCTACTCACAAGACGTAGAGCTACTCACAAGACGTAGAGCTACTCACAAGACGTAGAGTTACTCACAAGACGTAAAGTTACTCACAAAGTGTTGAGGCGGGCCAGTTGTCGGAAGGAGCCTGGCGGGATGGAGCGGATCTTGTTGAACCGCAGGTCCCTGAAAACAGACACAAAATTATTACACACTTGATAGCACCTTCATGAACGTACAATTAATCAGTAATCATAATCATTCTATAGATGGATTAATGGATCAAATTGGAAAGTTATGATGGAAGGCAAATTTGAAATAAACTAAATCTAATTTGAGATAAAGAAAATGAAACAATATTGACTCGACTCTAATAAGTAATGAATATCTTGAGAGTTACACTGTTAGAAAAAACGTGTACTGTAGCAATAAACAGTGCCGTGATTGCGCAATTTGCAGGTTCAAATAATCCAACGAACGTGTAAAAAAAATGCAGCCCGCATCAAGTTAAGAACGTTCAAGGAGTATAGTATGTATAGTTAAATTATAAGTACTTAATACTTATAAGTATATGAGTTATTATATACTTATACTTATTATATGTACTTATTAAACTTAGTATATAAGTATAGTATATAAAACAGATAAGTACATTGGTATAGTGTCATTTTCGAGATGGAAAGGACACAAATATATTATACGTCCGATTAATGACCAGAAAATGCATTCTATCCAAATTTTCAGGGAGTCGAAAATAGAAATATAATGCATTCTCTGGTCATTAATCGTAGGTTTTTCAACAAGAAAATTCCGTCATCTAATACTAAATATATTATATTATATAAGACGGACAAATACACAAGTATAGTATATGATATTGCACGTCGTGCGTGTTAGGAAGACGCGTGAGGCCGTATACTCGCATGGTTGAATTAAAGTGAGTATGGTATACGCGTATGTCTGCGTCGTAGTCGTTCACGTCATCGCAACGCAAACATCGCATTTGCATGTCTGCGTCACGCCAACTCTGCAGAGACTGCGGGGGCCGATGAGACCACAGCGTGATATGTTTTTTATAATGTTATATTATGTTAGTTTATCAACATATTATATGTTAACAAACTCTTCATGCGCGTGGGAAGTAGATAAGTGTTATGTAGTTCTATAGTTGAAATGAAACGCATAAAATTTGGTGCTTTTGGATTTAGAGGTCGCATCGCCAAAATTGGTTATTGTTTGATTATTATTCAGTTACAGTGTCAATATTTGACTCACAATAAAAAATTATTTAAAACCTTTTCTAGCAGCCTTGCGAGAAGTTCTGCTTCATTAGATTCCGTATTACTCTCAAAGCTTTAGTTTTATTGGATCGTCAACTCTAGGTAAAATAAAACATGTCTATGTCTAAAACAATATGAACCTGAGCTTAAAGTCTCTTGTGGAAGTTTCCCGAGTTTAATTTCCTTCAGTCAATACACATAAAACGGAGGGTCTGTAAAACACACAAATAGAAACGAACCAAAGATTCTCTACATCATCTGTAGATCATTTGCTGCACTCGACGATCAGCTCGCGGTTATGATCTCTGATTGTTCAAGAGGAAATATTCCGGGAAGACGACCTGCGAAAGCCATTCATCTGGATGAGAATAATGCCTTGAATTGGCCTCGACATATGCTGCGCTCGTGAACTTAGTGTGAAACATGTCCTAAAATTGTCATAAGGTCATGCGCGGGTGTGACCACTCCCCACCGGCGGACGTGACGTCATGAGCGACATGATTCGCCGTCATGAGCGACATGATTCGCCGTCATGAGCGACATGATTCGCCGTCATGAGCGACATGATTCGCCGTCATGTTTATTGTTAGTGCTGCATTGTTGTTTTTATGATTAATTATTGCTAATGATGTATAGACGATTCCTACATGAAATAATCGCGTTGAAAAAGGATATTATATATTACAGGACTTTGTAGGAAGTCACTAATAGTACTCACAATTTTTACAAGAAAATTGTGATAATGAGAATCAGTTTCCTTTTTCCCTCTCCAAATTTTCGGCCTTGCCGTGACCCAATTCTCACGCGACGATGCAAATGTGCTTTAATGAAGCTAGCTTATTAGCTATCTCATTAAATTAAGTAAGCATAGTAATCATCCAGGTGCGGAGCCACTAAGTGGAAGGTCAAATGAGTAGAAAGTGGTAAGTGGGAGAGATAAGGATCAGATCCGGACCCATGGTGGGGTTGAATTACTCACGTTCATATCGTATGCTTCAGTAAAAGTGGAAGAATGATCATTAATGAAACCCTGAAATGATTTTTCCCAACACGTTGTTCAAAATTGCAGACCGTGCCAGAATATATTCGTGTTGCGGCGAGACTGCAGTAATGAAAACAAAATTTCTAGATTAGCACAATAATACTGAACCAATTCATTGCTTAATCAGTTCCTTTACCCTTAGTGCAATAATATAGCCTCTGTGGTTACCGAAAAATGCGAACTAGATTCAATAAAATAGTTACAATAGCTAGACACAAGAAAAAACATTTAAGCATTACCATCATCTGGTTTTACTGATTATATGCCTTTAAATATTGGTAAATTAAATCCTTTTATTCACTGATATCCATATTTTTGCGTTAATAGCGTAGATTGCAAATCATAGCAAATCATTGATCCATTAGAGAGCAGAACGAAAAAAATACAAGTAAGCAGACAAAAATAAATTCTTTAAGTAGGCAAACATGAAGGTACAATATATTCGGCATTTACAGTATAACGCGACCCATGCCTCGCATGCGCAGATTGCACACACCAGTACACATCATGCAGTACACACCAGTACACACCATGCAGTACACACCAGTATAGTGCCAACCGCTGCAAATTGCTGCTCAATTATGCAGGTTTTTGCGTAAGGTTGTCGGCGAGATTGCGGAAATAAGGCAGCGGGCAACACGCCCTCTGCACTTCATGCGGCGTGATTGATTGCATCGTAATTGGAGGCTCTGAATTAGAAGTCTGATATCGACGCTCCACTGATACAATGAAGATAAGGAAACTGGCGGCGGAACAAGATTAGCTTTACACCTGCAAGTTAGTGCGAGACCGGAGTTCTAGAGACTAGAACTCCGGTCTCGCCGGAGTTCTCGCCCGAGAACTCCGGTCTCGCCGGAGAATCTAGATACCGCTGGAGGCGAGCTAATTTACAAGCCTGAATAAAGACAGAATTGTTTTCAGTGTATGGGACTAGTTTTATGGCGTATAGGGAAATAGTTAATAACATAGTAGCAGCTAGGGCTAGTGAGCCAAATGTGGCATGTTCAAAAAAGTTTCAATTGACTTGGCGATAACATTTTTAGTTATTCCAAGCATTGATTACTAATACCAATTCGAAGAACTGCTACAACATAAAAATACATAAACAAGCAATTATAAGTTATGTTCGTGTATAAAATAAGACGGAAAGTAGAAAACTCGTCTTATTTGTTTTCAGAAGAGGAGCTCCTAACTTTTTTATACATGAATTTCTTAAAACACAGAGAAACAAAAATTGGATAATAGTAAAACCAATTAAATATTACAAAAAACTGAAATAAAACTATTTATTGAACAAAGCCCATATACGGCTTTGAAGGTACATTTTGGGCGATGAAAATTAACTATACACGCATCTGCAGCTGAGTAGATGAAACTAGGCTCGGGCTAGGGTGATACTACTACTACTAGGGTGATACTATATATAGGCAAGGGCTGCGAGATGTTCAAGGAGAACTTAAACATACAAACACACACAAAATACTTTGCAAAATGTGGATACACCTCAGCACAGAATCTCAATTTAGCGAATTATCAGAATTTTACTTGGATGTCGGTACATAAATCTCACGCATTAATAAACTAAATGTCACTAAGGCGAAGAAATAGGATGAAGAGCAAACTAAATCTACTTAATCTACAATAAAATAACTAATGAAGAACGTACCATACAATTAAAAAGTGACTATCAAATCCTCAAGTGCCTTAAAAGTCCGATTAGTTATAAGAAGAATATTAGAATATTAAGTATATACTAATTAAGGAACGCCTTGCAGAAATATGTAAACAATTGATGTGAAGAATTTTTAGCACACATGCAGTATATAAGTCTCATGCATTGGCTTTGCAATGCAACGCATTGCGATGAAAATGGCTTGCAATTTATGTATCCATATAAGACGATTGCTGCTCATGCCTGCACATATTACGGTCCAGACCGACTGTTATTATGGTGCCTTCACTCAAGAAAATGAGTGAATCTTATTGTCAAAATAGTGAAATACTTCTTGCACGTTGCATACAGCATATACACAGCGGACGTAGCATTGATACGTTATTGACCCGGGTCAAAATGGGTCAGGATGATATAGACAAATCGCAAAAAGTGCATCGCTATTGGGACAAAGTTCCGTTCATTTGTCTGAGCGCATAATCGCTGGCCAAGCGAGGCGCTAGTCTGGCAGAGGAAGCTATAACCCAACAGAGCGGCCGCTCACTGCGAGATGCAAAATAAGATGTAAATTCGACACAGTATAATGAGACTCATAGTCACATGCTGAAGCCTGCATGTAAATGCTTCATTATCTCCTCCGCATCAGTGGCACTGAACACTGATGGAGTAATATCCAGCCACCAATGGTTCGAATAAAATAACCTTTAATCGATGGGTCCTGGTCCATTATATAACGAAATTTGCACAGCGATCTCAAAACATTAGGAGTTTATAAAAGAATTATGTTCAGAGCAAAAGGTAAAAAATTGAATGGCAATTTCCAAAACTTAAGTTCATCGAAGTCAATGGCTTAACATCATGAACACCAAAGAAGATATCGACAACAAAGAATATAGTTTGAGATTAGCGTAGTAAAGAAGCGACTATAGTAATAAAACCCATTATAAAAACCCGCTCCTCAGTGTGATGTTAAATATATACTAAGAGAAATGAGTGTGAATTTGTCCAAATATCAATGCACATTTCACTCTTGTATGGGTCACCCTGAACCAGTTTGCCTGTATCAATGATACGTAACCCTCTGTCCGTGCTGTAGATAAGGCAGTGGGAAACAATTCAGACAATATGACGTATTAGTTTTCTGAGTGTCGTGTTGTACTGTTGAAACAGGAAGCTCAGGCGAGCCGAGCGC